AAGGCATTTTACTGAATGTTCATACATGCAGTACAGACAGTTTTCAGTGTTTTTGTATATTCCACTTGTCAAATCCTGTTCGTTGTTAATTTTTACAGAAAGAAGCAACAGGTGCCCTGACCCACACGGGAGCTCACTTAGACCTGTCTGCGTTCTCCTCCTGGGAAGAGTTAGCTTCCCTTGGTCTGGACAGATTGAAGAGCGCATTGATGGCCCTGGGACTCAAATGTGGAGGGTAAGGGTTATGTTACATGTACCCCATTGCAAGGAAGAATACCAGCAATAATCTTCATGGAAGGGACACAAAATGCCCGATTTTCTACAGTTTCTCTAAAATTCTTTGCTGTAAAAAATGAAAGTATCATATTGCAATTCCAGAACCTCTGAATGAGCCAGGTATAAATTTCAACATACTTCGGTACAATTGAAAATGTTTTAAATCTGAAGAATGCAGATGTAGAATTATTTTCCAGAACCCTTGAAGAAAGAGCCATGAGATTGTTCAGCACCAAAGGAAAAAATCTAGAGGATTTAGATCCATCTATGTTTGCTAAGTCCAAGCCAGGCAGAGCTGGCAAAAGCAGGTGTGATATTTACATGTATACATTCAGAGTTCACAATTTACTGCATCAATGTAGGGCACAAATTATTTGCATTCTTCAGTTTAAATGATAGAATCATCATGTACTGTGAACTTAAAACTCAAAAGCAATAGTTTGTCAATAGTTAGTAATTTATCAATTTATATAAAGATTAAACATGAAGATTTTTTTACTTTTTACCCATTACACTTTTTGATGAGATGCCTGTATTTTTGATATGTAGAGATGCCGAGCGTCAGAGGGAGATAGGTTCCTTGGAGGCCCAGGTTTACAGATTCTCTGAACTCCTGAGTGAGCAGCGAGCCGCGACTCGAGACAACGTACAGAGAAAACAGGCCAGGACCGGCGAGGAGAGAGAGGACTCAGACGATGAACACTTCGAGGAGTCCGATTCAGATGACGATGACGACGACATCCCGTATAATCCTAAAAATCTCCCGCTGGGCTGGGATGGAAAGGTATAAATGTAGTCCTCCAGACATTGATGAGTGTTTTTAATGTTACATAAACCTCTTAACGTTATATAAACCTCTTTTCTATTCAAATAATTTTGAGTTTTTTTCATATAATTTATTCAACCAAATTATCTTATGTAATATATCAAACCATGTTTATATTTTGCATTATTTCTTCAAAGAGGTTGAAAGTAGACAGGATGAGAGAGACACTTGGATATTTTGATAAATCTTGATACATTTTCTTGATTTTTTTTTTTTAGCCTATTCCATATTGGTTATATAAGCTACATGGTCTTAACATCAGCTACAGTTGTGAGATTTGTGGAAACTTCACTTATAAGGGGCCTAAAGCTTTCCAAAGACATTTTGCTGTGAGTATTTTATTTCCTGGCTTTTTATGAAGTCTTAAAAATATTCCAAAAAAAATTTCAAGTGTAAATTCTGAAATTGGTTATTGTGTTCTTTATCCTATGCCCATTGTCCCAAACCATGGCCAAAATGTACATTCCTCATCCATTCTGGCCATGGTTGAATGAGAAGAGAATATTAACTAGCTCATTAAAATATTAACCAATGCGTGTAAAGCATAGTCAGAAAATGAACTTTGACGTGATCTTTCAATACCCAATCACAGTTTTTGAAATATTTTTTGTTTACTGATGATGTCAGTTGTTGATTTCAAATGGGTTGGAAACAAATATCGTCATTGGCTGAACATGACATCACAGCATACAGGTGATAAGATTCAAAATTATGTTAATTTATGTGATCAAGCAGCCAGGGGTAGGAGAAGGGTATAAGTGGACTCCAAACTGCTTGAGACGATGTCCTATGCTATGCACTATATATTTTCATTTTATTGAATGATTAGAATGGATTGTTTTAAGATGTACCATTTTTGTCAAAGAATGTGTGTATGTTTGTATTTAGAATAAATTTCAATTTTATTTTAAAGGAATGGAGGCACGCTCACGGGATGCGATGTCTAGGTATCCCCAATACAGCCCACTTTGCCAATGTTACACTCATTGAAGACGCACTTGCATGTAAGTTTTCAAAGCTGTTTTAGGTTTTAATTGCATAATTTAATTAATTACATGCAAGTTGTCAAACCTGTATGTAATTTTGTAAATATTTTCAGGATTGTCATGTAAGTAGCCTGAAAATTTGGTGGCCTTTTAACCTATTGATTTATTTTAAATATTTAGAAATCTTAATAAGGGTAGTTATGAAGAAATTTAGCATGTATGGTGTTTAAACTTACTTTACAGGAACTATAATATGTTTGTAATTGTAGTAACAGTGATTCAAAGGTTTTTTATTTTTGTTTTTTTTTTTGCAGTATGGTCAAAAATTAAGACAAACAAAGAGTCAGAGAGGTGGAAACCAGACACAGAGGTTGGTATCAAAGTCTGGGTATTATTGGATTCATTGCTTGAAAAAAACAGTAAACAGATTTCAGTACAATTTAGTTTTTTAAAAAATCTTTCCCTGCCCTCAAAAGATGAAAGAAAATCTCATTTTTTGCTTTAGTTGTGTCAGGTCTATGTTTGCATAGCTTTTGTGGATATCAGAGAACCAAAAATTTTCAGTGAGTTTACCCTATATTTGTAGTGTTTTATTATGGTGAATTTATTCTTTTTTAGGAGGAGTATGAAGATACAACAGGGAATGTGTTTAACAAGAAGACGTACGACGATCTCAAGAGACAGGGTCTGCTCTAGGAGAAGGGACTTATTTTTAACAATCAGAGATGTAAACACTCTCTAAATATTTTTTATTATAAGTAATATTTATCAGACTTGTGAATTTCCTTTTCTGAAACTTGAGTTTTTACCACTGGGATCAAAGACATTCAAGTTTGACAAATATAACACCATATGATCATTCATTGTTTTTGTACATGGGTCATGTAACATTCAAACATTAAACATAAATCTCGTCCACTCTGTGTTCTTTAATTTATATTAATTACATTTAATGGATGCTGTTCTTAAATATTTGTTTTTGCATATGAGCTTAGAGAAAGTTCATTTGAAATGTTGTTTAAATTCATGAAATGGCAGGTTTTTAGTGAATTATGAGCAGTTTCAAGTTTTCACAAATCAGCAGTTTTTGGTTTTTAGCTCACCTGAGCTGAAAGCTCAAGTGAGCTTTTCTGATCACATTTTGTCCGGCGTCCGTCTGTCTGTCCGTCTGTAAACTTTTCACATTTTCGACTTCTTCTCAAGAACCGCTTTTCAACCAAACTTGCCACAAAGTATTCTTGGGTGAAGGGGATTCAGGTTTGTTCAAATGAAGGGCCACGCCCTCATTCAAGGGGAGATAATTGGGAATTAATGAAAATTTGGTGGCATATTTAAAAAATCTTCTTCACAAGAACCACTGTGCCAGGAAAGATGAAACTTATGGGGAAACATCCTCAGGTAGTGTAGATTCAAGTTTGTTCAAATGATGACCCCCGGGGGTAGGGCGGGGCCAAAATGGCCGACCAAAGTTTTACATAGAAATATATAGGAAAATTCTTTTAAAATCTTCTTCTCAAGAATAACAAAGCCCTAATTGATCATATTTATATGGAAGCATCTGCAGGTAGTCTCGATTCAAGTTTGTTCAAATCATGAACCCCGGGGGTAGGGCGGGGCCACAATGGCCGACCCAAGTTTTACATAGAAATATATAGGAAAATTCTTTAAAAATTTTTCTAAGAATGACAGAGCCCTAATTCATCATATTTATAAGGAAGCATGCTCAGGTAGTGAAGATTCAAGTTTGTTCATATGACCCCCGGGGGTAGGGCGGGGCCAAAATGGCCGATTTTACATAGAAATATATAGGAAAATTCTTTAAGAATCTTCTTCTCAAGAATGACAGAGCCCTAATTCATCATATTTATATGGAAGCATGCTCAGGTAGTGTAGATTCACGTTTGTTCAAGTCATGACCCCCGGGGGTAGGGCAGGGCCAAAATGGCCGACCAAAGTTTTACATAGAAATATATAGGAAAATTCTTTAAAAATCTTCTTCTGACAGAATGACGAGCCCTAATTCATCATATTTATATGGAAGCATGTTCAGGTAGTGTAGATTCAAATTTGTTCAAATCATGACCCCTGGGGGTAGGGCGGGGCCAAAATGGCCGACCAAAGTTTTACATAGAAATATATAGAAAAAATTCTTTAAAAATCTTCTTCTCAAGAATGACAAAGCCATAATTCATCATATTTATATGGAAGCATGCTATAGTGTAGATTCAAGTTTGTTCAAATCATGACCCCCGGGGGTAGGACGGGGCCAAAATGGCCAACCAAAGTTTTACATAGAAATATATAGGAAAATTCATGATTGGTCATGGGACAACTTTTTGATTTAAACTTTACAATAAATAGCCATTTTCTACTTTTTCCTACCCTTAGTGCTCAGGTGAGCGATGTGGCCCATGGGCCTCTTGTTTAAGCTCACTTCAAATTTTGGTTGCAGTTTTCCCACAACTACTCAACACTGATGCTTTAATTTTTAGTACACTCTTTGCTGAGGCATGCCATATGGTAGGATCCATTTTTGTATGAATCTGATATCATTTTCCTATTTATCCATACATCTTCCCGTAACTGAACTTGTGTATATTAATATGATAGTGTATATTCACATCAGAGCGGGGATTTTACTGGTGAGCATGGGCTCAGACTTCTTGTTTGGTAAGCATTTCCTGTGTTAGGTGTCTAATTCACCTAATTACTCAGGAGTCCCTTAAACCACCAAACATCAGATTTTGTTGGACATCATTCTTTAGAGTCCCTTCTGTCACCTTCGATTCAGATATTAGACCGACTGTAAATACAAAGCTGGTGAGACGGGAAAGATATATTTTACATCATATGCCATCTGAAATATAGATACATCACAGATGTTCCTCCATAAACAAAACACAAACTCAAGATTATATAACCAAGTTAAATTTTTATTTTTCATTGAGAAAATAACAAAAGATTAATTTTATATATATATGTACCAAAACAAAGATTCTCTTGACCCCTGTAATAGTCCACATTATTAAGGGTTATCCCTCGTAACAGAACCTTGTTATTAATAACACTTGATAATGCCAAGAATCCTGGCAGTTTACATAAAGAGAAATAAAGAACAGAAGTCTACTGTGACATACATGTATAAGTGAATTCAGTAGACAGAACAGAGAGATCACACACAGACACACAGACAAAGCAAATATACAACACGGGAAGCTGAGACTGACAACCTGATCTCGTCTACACCTGTACAGGTGGGCCAGGTCAATGTCTGTAATCAGCATTACTGACACTACAAATGTTAACTCTACTATCATCTTGGAAATTCTCATTAATTGCTTCATACAAATTTATATACCTAAGTTTACTTATAAAATATTGCATGTTACAAGTATAGACTCAGATTTGAATTCATGGCCTGGTAAAATGGATGATAATAAAGGCAAAAAAGATTCCAGTATATGAAAAGTAATGATTTTTATAACATTTTCTGCACTTTCCCATATTCTCAGTCTGAGTAAAACTTTTGACAAAAATTGCATTTTTACAAAATGTATTACGGGCTCTACTGTGATAAAATGTTTAATACACATGTATAAATATTATTTATATAATAAATAGTTATCTAAAAATTGCATACATTATAAATCAACATAGGCTTTAACTGATGAACATTTTTCTTCTTTCCACTGTATATAAATGTGCGCTTCTATATCAATGCAATGCCATTGTAACATTTTGAGCGACAATACTGAAACACATAGGGATAAACGTGTAATAAAATGTAACAATAAAATGTAATAATGGGATTACGATACTGGCGAGAACAGACTTCACACTGCGACTGGTTTTACAAAATGAAACTTCTGTTTGCAAGATATTATAAATGTTTAAAGGGGTATACAGTATACATTTTATCCTGAAAATCTTTTTATGAACAGTAAATGTACAGTAAGATTAAAACAACAAATTTACTCATTTGTATACAACAGAATGACACTATTAAGGGAGATTTACATGCCCTATATACAATCCCTTGAGGCATAATCATCAAATTTATATAAACGGTGCTATTCAACACATACATGTATAATTCAAACTACTTTGTACAGATATACATCCTATTTTGTGGCCTCTGAGTAAAACATTTATAAACTATGATGGATATGTTGCTAGTTTATGCCCTGTAATTCATAACTACATGATTTTTGCATTGAACAATGTATTTCCTTTTACACAATGACATCTTTATCAGGTTAGAAATCGTCTTAATGAAAGGATCTGATCAGAGACAGTGATACAGAGATACCAGGCAGGGCTGTATGATTCCACTTTTAAACGTTTCCACATTATTGTAATATCTTCTTGGATTACACATGACTAGATGATATAATTGCTGAGGTATCTCAGTGTTCTCTCACTCAGTCCACTAATCGCACAGAGACAACTCAAACTTACGAGTAGACAAGCACACTCTCGTGGTCTTGTTTACAGAGTTCTCGCTGCGGCATTCAGTGTACATAATAACTAGTTCTACCAGCAACAAAAGGGAAGGAAACCAAACTAACACAAAAAAGCACCAATAAAATCCAGTATCACACTGCATAAATATAACTATCGGTTAAAACAACAAGTCAACTACAAACAGTGTAACATTATAGAATTTGGTCACCAGCAAAACCTGCTGATTATCTCAAACACATCGGTAAATATTCCTTCACTACTTGTGTAACTCCTCTAAAGTGTAACATTCAAAAGTTTAAATTTATTTCTCAAGATATCACAAAGGATCAAGTTCTCTTGATAATTTTTGAAATCTATTTAAAAAAAAGAAGTTACTTAACATTTTCTGAAAATATAATGATGTCATTTTCTGAAACATATCTCAGAATTTCCCTCTCAAGAATCAAACAATTCTGAATAATTAGCAAAAAAAAATAAACCATTGTAAAAATAAAGCTGCCCAGTCTATAATAAATACTTGAAAACAGAGATGCTCCTAAGAGCAGACAATCCTTCTTCACAATCACACAACTACTACACTAACAATCACCCACAAAACAAGCAATCTTCACTCATAACACTTCATTTATGTCTAATACCTGAATCCAAACTGCACACTCAATCACAACCATGTAAAACAAATTCTATGCACCCCCTGACAATCTATAGAGTAACCTCCCCTAAGACAATATCTTGAGTAACCTATAATCTAGCACTAATTCTGTACAGACTCCAGCAATAAACCTGCCTCTCTCTGCAGTTTATCAACAATGTAAATAGATCCAATATTGAGCTACTTAGCTGGCAGAAACAATGTATCAACATAATAGAATCAGAACTGTGTAACACACCTATCAAAAGAGGGAGGGACTGCTAACAATGGCTAGATTTACGCTCATCTCCCACAATCAATATATATCTTCATGGTGGTTAAAAATACAACACATCTATACCAAAGTTCTCAAAATGTACAAAATATTTTATACTAAAGTTTTATAAACCTTGCATTATCATCTAGTTACCCTAAACATATCTTGTATACATAATGCCTTAGCAATGATTGGGGACAATAATGATGTAACTGTACTGATTTCTATGGCAACATTGTATCCATGGCGATGACTGTAGCTATGGCTACCATGCGGTGGCTGAGATCTAAGAATGAAGTACCAGTTTAGAGTACCAGTTGTGACTTTGGCAAACTTGAGATCACTGGGATATTTTGGAGTGGGTTTTTATCCGTCGATCAGCTGGGCTTTGTAAGCACAGATCACTAACTTGGCCTGAAGAAAATGGTTCAGCATATCAATCAAATGTATCAAATCCACAAAATGTTATTCAAACTTAAAAATAAAATATTCCTTTCCTTTGACAAGAGACAGCCTGCTTACCTTAGATGTAGAAGCCTTTACTGTGTTAATGACTATCTCATTTCTACCATTCTGCAGAGGGCAACAGGACAACACAAAGTTAGCTTCCTGAAACAACAAACATCAACAATTATTATCTTAGATCATTATAATTCTTTATCTGTCCTTAAAAGATTTTATAACAAAACTACAGCATAAGTGTGTGTTGACGGTAAAACACAGGATGCTAATTGGTCACAGAACTAACTAATCTAATCCTGACAAATAAATAGAAATAGCTTCATGCCATGGAAAAAATACTGTGCATTATAATACTGTATACAGGGTTATTTTCGCCCCATGTAATTTTCGCCCTTTCACATTAGGAAACAGATTTGCCCCGTTTTGAATTCGCCCAGAATGATTTTTGTATAAGATAATATACTGTTTACTTTGAATTCATCCGTTTTAAATTCGCCCACTTACGACGAGGGCGAAAGGGGCGAAAATTTCCCTGTATACAGTATTACACAGTAATTAGTGTACACCAAAGCATCGACAGTAGATTTTAGAGATGATAATTTTAATATGTAATTTTATTTCACCATGTGGATAAAGTATTGATTACATTCCTCATAAACAGAGGTTATTAGCATCCTAATGAAATACATGCTAATGAGTGCATATCAAGAAATCAATAGAAGCCTTCAGTCAATACACATGCTGACTGCACGGAACTCGCAAAAATCAATAAATGACCACAAACATTGGTAGTTACCTCTGTTAGTGGGGGCTGAGGGACTCCATTCAGCGTCGCCGAGTTGACAGCACACGGTCCATAAAACCGACACTTACAATCTGTGGCCGTGATTCGGGCATGTGCAATAAATAACAGATACCCCACACCTGGCAAAGCAAGAAAAGAAAATAATGTCATAAATTATGTGGCAAATTTAATAACTATGAATTAAAATTTTTACAGAAACATTGCCATGGCAATATACATACATGTACAAGGTTTATTTGCTACTGATGAATATATTGCCTACAGCTTATCACCTCTATAATCTTGTAAATTGCTAACAAACTTTATTATTAACCTTGGGAGAGCTATCATAATGCCCAAGTTATGATAATATCTAAACCAATGTACCCCCACCTTCTCATGAATCATAAATAAGTATCTCAAAATAACATTAGCCTCGCACAAATTAAGAAAAATCTTGACATCAGGCACTATTTTTAATATAATTAAGATCTCAGGATATACCCTTTCTCCATTAAGAATAAATCAATAGAAAACACACGCACCCCAAATATAATGTAACTGAACAGAAAAGGAAATATTTGTGCCAAAATGGGACTTGAACATCATTTTATTCAAATTTTACGTAGTGTAAATATTCTGATAAAGTAAAACATATTATAGATACCGATGAAAAAAAACTATCTTCTTGTTCACCTAAAATTTTAACTATTGATTTTTCCCATTCATAGGTTTTCTCTGAAGTCAGAATTTCAGTCTTTTTTGTAAACAGTCAATGAGGCATATAAACCACTTTAAGGTTATATTGATTTTTCCCCCGACTCAAGCATTAGACCACATTAACAATCTCAGTCAAATATAATCAACCCAGTATACCCTGTAACAGGTGCTTCCTTGTTCTACAGGTTAGCAGTACTCTCTCTCTCTCTCTCTGGCTTTGTTTGCACCTGTAGGTTAGAAGTACATGAACTCTCTCTTTCTATCTCTCTCTCTCTGGCAGTTTACACCTGTTCTTGGCTTACCTGGTGTGTTTGGCTGCATCTCGTGCTTGAAGTTGATGACAAACTTGCTGGACTCACACAGTGGAAACACCTGCATTGGGAACAGGCTGCTGGAGATCTTAGCCGTGTTATTCAGGGTTATGGCTACCTGTTTGTCAAACTCTTTTGTCAGCCTGTTAAACAAAACCAGACAAATTTAAGTGATTATAATAACACCAATGTCTTTATATGCTTATGTCTTTGTCTCCAATACTCTCCATTTGACATTCATTAAAAATTCATTTTTGAAAATAAATCACTTAAAAAAATTATGATCATCAACATTTGAAATGCAGAAGGTGCTTTTACTGAACATTTATGATTACTCATTAAAAATCCTGCTGAATCTCAAAATTATAAATATTTGATGCACTTCAACATAATGAAACTAATAAAGGAAAGATAATACAAATGAGTTAAAAAAAATAACTACTGTGGAATTGGGAAAAAAATATCCAGATTATTATAAATCAAATCACCTGTTCTAAATCAAATTATTTGAAAGAAATACTGATTCTATCTTCGTAGTACCTTGTGATGGATTCCGTTATAATGTCCTCTATTTCCGTGAGCCGCAGCATTTTGGCGTAAGTGAGAGCTGTAAATCCTGAATTATTCTGAGCCGAGAAATTCGCTCCATACTCCAGTAGGAACTTCACAATCTGCTTGTGACCTCGCTTCACAGCCTGTATATAGTTAATTAAGATTAATTGAAATATCCGTTATCTAAAATCATTTTCAGTTAAAATATATGGCTTCTCTCAAATATAAATACATTTAATTCATTGCAAACTTGGACCACTGTACACAAATTTTATTTGTGCGCAAGAATTGTCTGCTAGTTTTGCAACAATCTTTAACTTGCAAAAAATTAATCATCATGAACTATTTATTTTACTTTGTATTTGTAGAGAATGATTCCTAGTAGCAAAATTTAACAATCACAGATAGATTTAAACCAATTTTTACCAGATGAAATAATTCCTAGAATGAATGAAGTGTTTTAAAGGGAAGAAACTCTTACCTTCATCAGAGCTGTTTCACCGGTGTCCTGTTGAACATTTATTTTAGCACCCAGTTCTACTAGTAAAGCCACAGTACATATATGGGCCTAAAAGAGATAAAGAAAATGATTACATATTTACTACTTTACACGGTAAATTTAACCATATAATAATGTGTTTTTTTCTATCAAAAGCTGTGACATTGTAATGGTTTTTATGACAAAAAGGATGGTCCAATAAAGTGGATAAAAGCATAAAATAAATCTTCCATGGTTATTGGTGGAATAAAATTTTCATCCAACTTGATTCGTGTTTATTATCCTTTTGCCAAGGCTCAGGGATAAAAGTCATATCCAGATCGTTTTCGTGTACACTCTTTAGAATAAAATGTTAACTGTTTTGCAACTTTTGTTTTATATGTTCCCATTTTGCAAAGAATATTAAACAAAACAGAAATTGGTAAGCGTACTATTTTTAGTTCTTGTTTTAAACTTACATGTTCACAAGCTAACATGAGAGACGTGGTGCCGTTTTTCTGTTGTGCGTTGATATCAGCTCCATTACTGACTAGTAACTCTGCTATATCATCAAAACCTACAACAGAGAGGATCACTTTAAATACATAAATTTCACTCATTTTTAGTAGAGAAAGTCTGATCAAGTAATCAAATAAAAACTTTTAATTTTTTCACATTTTCACATTTACGAAAAATAATACATGACAATACGCACCACTTTGAGCGGCGTACATCAGCAGCGTGATTCCGAGGTCGTCCCGCGCCTCCACGTCGTATTTCTTACTGCTGTTGAGGGCGCTTCGCACGGCCTGATAGTCTCCCTCCGTTACCGCCTGCTGGAATTTCCCTGTCAAAATATAGAACAACTGTAAGCATATATGTAGGAAATATTTATTACTAGATCATCTTCTGAATATAAGCTTTCCTCATGTAGATCTGGAATTCAGCACTCATGCTCTATGTTCATTACGAGTGCTTGACAGTTTGTCTGTTATCACTACAAAGGTTGTCACACAACAAACATACTGTACCCTTAGACTAAATTATTGCACTCAAACTTCAACTTCAGGCAACAATTTTGTCTTCAGGTTTAGCAAATCATTTGTTGTCCTCATATTCATACAATAACTAGAGTAGACCCTATTAATCTTCTAGTACTCACCATCAGTTATGACTATAGCATCAACTTCACTGTCCTGCAAAACAAAACAAAAAAATATCTCAGTTTTAGGATTAGACAGCACGGATTTTGATGTTTGAATTCATAAGGTTTGGACATTCCAGGTATCTCTACAGGTCATCAATGATGACACAGAACATAAAAAATCAACATACAATAGGTGAACTGATCTAAACATGCTGAAGGAAACCCACTATCATACAGGCCTAAATTACTGGTAAATTAATTATAATTCAAGGAAATCTGCTATCATTACATTTGTAAAATCTAGACTCAGTCACTACCGGTATATACTACATGTATGCAGTTCCTTGTTGTTCAAATTGTCATTTGAATATTTATGGAAATGTTTACACAGAAATCATGTTTTCTCTGTCAAAAAGCGAAGTAAAAACCTCAATATGACATTACCATAAAGTACAAAAGCACTATTCATCAAAACCAAGTCATGCACTCCTTAAAAATGTCACAAACAAAATAGCTTAGAATACTTTTAAATTAACCTATAGGGGTACTCTAACAATATATAATTGTTAATATATTTTTTATTTATCAACTGCAGGAGAAATTCTGTTATTGTTGCGCTCTCTGAGATGGATGCCATTATTTGGAATCTAACCTCCTCCAGCAATGACCAGACTCTACAGGCCACAGTAAATATTGGCAGAACTGTCTAAGATAATGGTAGGCCTAATGCCATACTCGGCAAAACAACAGTATTGATTTTATAACATGGCTTCCTCATCTCTAACTCAGGGAAGCCCACATCAGCATCACACCAACAGTATGCTGAGTTATGCCTGTACCACTGTGCTGCATGTTTCTCAGGGGTTCAGTGACACTTGGTCAATAACCCTTAACATTTCATACTTATTGATTTTTTTGGTGTCTTAGCTAATTATCAACATTATGAAATATCTGAGAAGACAAAAGACATTCATTAACCTACAGAATCTATTAAACCCTCCAGGTCATCAAAGTCATTAACCTAATATAAAGAAGAACCTAAAATAAAAGAGCTGAATAGAGAAAACTACGGAAAGATGGACAGCAGAAAACTACGGAAAAATGGACAGCAGAAAACTACGGAAAAATGGACAGCAGAAAACTACGGAAAAATGGACAGAAGAAAACTACGGAAAAATGGACAGCAGAAAATTACGGAAAGATGGTCAGCAGAAAACTACGGAAAAATGGACAGCAGAAAATTATGGTCCCCAATATTTCCCTGGTTGTTATTTAAATACAGAGTTCTGACCATCCTTATAAACCACAGCCAAACCACAATACAATGTCAAACCACTACATAAATTAAAAAGGTATATCTTTAGAATATCTTCAAGTGTTTACACACAAAATGACAGAAAATGTGGTGGCTTTTGTTATTTCAGTAGTGAGATACTAAGTAAAAAAATTTCAGTTGAGGAGGATTTGAATAAATAAATATATGTGTCACAATTAGCATGTACAATAGGACCGCTCCCTTTTTAAAATTTACGACAGCATTAACAAACATGCTTGTTTAATAATGTTTATAACTGAGTGTCTCTTGTTTACATTTGCTGTCTGCACAAAGCATTAAGGCCTGGATTCTCATTTATCATGTTAAAAACCCAGAAACTTTATACATCCCCAAGATGAAATTCAAATTCTTACAGTACTTAGAGAGTAATTCATCAGACTTTTACAATAATTTTTGATGTCAGTTAATGTATGCACGTCAGTGTTTCATGCCCTGCCGGTGCCTCACTCACAGGTGATATATACATTTATAAATCAAGTGTGTCGGTAATTGACCAGAGTATGTAGCAATACACAGGTAACGGTGGTCAACGACCCTCACCTGTAATCATCATTCATCTCAGGTACGGACACACTTCAATACACAGCACAACAGAACAGCACGACCCCACTAATACATCAATCTATCGACAACCTATCAACACCCAATGTGTGGAACCATTAGCCTGAAAGATGCTGAGTTTCTTGGCAAAGATCCAAAGAGGGTGGACTATAAGGGGTCTGGCAGTGGTCCAATACTGGGTCAGTGACCCAGTTACCCTGGTCACATACTAATGATTACCCAGTGTTCTCAGTATCTAACATTGCCTACTTTGTGTGTCTGGGTACTCCCTAATTATTACTCTATCTAGCACTGCCTACTCTATGTCTGGGAAGATTCACAAAATGTATGTCAACAGACGCATTCTTCTGATAATATGTAAACTATATTTATAGAGTGCAGTGTAAATGGATTCCACTGGTTCATAAATAAATCCATTCCATTTATCCATCAATCACGTCCAATGATAAACACCTGTCATATCTGCTCGTAACGACCCCATAAAACAAAACCGCATCTCTCACGTTCAGCCACCAATGAAGTTAAATGCGCTCAAGAAAAAACATTTCAACTTAGCCTTTAAAATGCTCATTAGCATGTACTTAAACATTTTTAACAATGGCTCGAAAATTTTGTTTTTCTGTGGCATGCTCCTTGAACAGCATGAACATATTATCAGGAATCCGAAGATTTTCTTCTGGGTTTTTTTTCTCGAAGTGCTTGAAGGGTATGTGTCCTCCTTCCTGCACTTAAAAAATTAAAATTCTAGTATCATCAACTTTTTGAGAGTTTTTCTGTACAACCAATTAATATATATTAATTAAACTTACTGGAATGTTTGAATGGCTACTGTTGAACATTTGAAAACAATTTTTAAAACTATGAGCAATGAACTGAAATGTTTTTTGTATGATATGTATAAACTCTTCTGTAAATAAACAGTCCACTGATTTTATATGACAGCATTGTTAAAAAAAACAAGAGCAATCAAAGTAGAAAAATTTGACATGTTCCCTCAATCAACATGTATGGACTATGGATTCTGATGGTATTGATCAAATTCGCTACTGTGACCTTATCATTCAATGACCTAGTTCTCCCCCCCCCCTCCTCTTATAACCCCTTCAGTTCCCTGCTGCCCATCATCAGAGAGAGAGAGAGATAGGAGAGAGAGTACTTTCTGCCAATGTTATTCATTGTCAAATTTTGCAAACATTGCTGTCAATAATTTCTTACATCACTGGTATATCTTTTCTACTAAACCCAGTGAACAGTAGATCAGCCGTTAGCCCCAGATAAACGTGTCTCGAGCAAGCTGATCAATACATAGCAGGACACCCACTCCTACACACTTTCTGACATGCAATCTCACCCAAACAAACAAGCTTTTCACAAGAAAAAAGTAAAAATCCTACTTATGTCTGTCAAAGTACTGAAAGGTCAGTGAAAGTTTACTCATGCCTTTGACATTTTCCCCTTTATCTAACCTACATTTATCTTTCATTCAACAATTTACATGCAGGTTCATTCCCACTACTCTAAATCCAGTACACTTGGTTCATTTCCATAGACAATTTCTTATCACGTTATCAATATATGAATAAACATGACCCACAGTTCACGTGGCAACAGTGCTACTAGTACTTACCGTTTCTTTATCTAGCTGATCTAAGTCAATGTCGTCCAACTCAATGTCAAAACTTAGATCCGCTCCTGAAAAATGCAAGGAAATTCATTATTGGAAATGGTTCCCATTAATGGCTTTATCAAAGCAATCATGTATAATGTCAAATGGTGTGAACATCCAAAGCTATGCAATCAATGAAAATGAAACTGGAAATTTCTATTTCACAGTGTAATCCCTCAGATTAAAAGGAGAAAATAAAACTTTTTTCACCACTACATAGACAAAGCAAATATATCACTTTGGCAATAAATAAAGTGGTCCATACACCCACAAAAAGCCAGAGCTTCACCATGATTCAGTAACAATATTTATGTACCTCGTTCCTGTGTTTTCGTGCTTTCTGGCAACAGAGGAAGAAGAGATCCGCTCCACAAGTCATCCAGAGGCTGCGAACAGTCCATAGAATTAGCCGAGTCCTTTCTCCGAGTCGACTTGTTACGATCCGACTCCACACTACTGACACTGCTGGTGGAGCTCGCCAGCCCACTGTCTCGAGAAGTCTGACCGGAATCTCGCCGAACTTTAGACACCTTACACTGTGAAATTGAATCACTCTCGGACCCGCCATGTTTTCGCTTGACTCCAGCGGAAGGTAAGTCCTGACTTTCTTTCTCGGATTTCACATCCGGAGTGCTGGTAGCCTGTGGAGTTTTACTTGGCAAGTCACCCGAGGATAATTTTCTAGGAGGAGTGCTCCCCCCTGATAAGTACGACTTAATTGGACTTGGGGGTTTCTCTGTCGAGTCAGTCTTTATGCTGTCTACCTTAGATTCCGATTTATCTACACTATTATCAAACTGATCTAATCCAGGCTTCACTTTCACTTCTGTTTTGGTTTTTTTCACTCTGATTTTTTTGTCACTGTCTGATTTCTGATGTTTTTCTTTCTTTACTTTTTTCACAATATTTCTTCTCTCTTTTCCATCTTCATCTACACAAAAAAAAAATCATGAATAAGAATCAAAAGGTGTAATGTATATAGGATGCAATTTCACATATATACTGCCATTGCAAATTTTAAACTTTTGATGCTTTGCTTGAAAAAACTTCATTCAGTTTCAGAAAGCTAGGTAAACATTTAAACATGTCCGGATCCATGAATAAATTTACATAATATATATGTTTGTGTATGTTATAGTAGACCGAGTTCATCTGAGGTCAGTGGTAAGGCGACGAAGTAAACACTCACTCTCTGAATTACTGTCGCTCCTATCCTCATTGCTCTTTAATTTCTGTCAAAATTGAAAAACCAGAATTAATTTAAAATCAGAAAATACAACTATATGCAGAATATTATTATACACAAAATTATTTTTTTAGAACAGATTTTACACTCACTTTAATTTTGAGTACTGGCATCCTGACCGAAGATTCAATGGAGGAATCAGAATTTTCCTGTTTTAACTTCTCTTCTGACGTACTTAACGTGTCACTCTTGACAATCTCATAGTCACTATTCACTACCTCATCTTCACTGGAGGTCACGAACTCTCGTGACAAAAAAGGCAGGCTGTTCTGTTTCTTCTTGTCCCTTTCCTTCGTTTTGAGCTCCTTTTTGGCAGCAAGCTTCTTCTTCTTTTTCTGGGACTTACTATCCTCGGATCTAATATTCTGATGTTTGTCCTTGAGACATGTTGGCCTTGAGGCCCGACCTCCCCCTTTGACCTTGGAGTACATGTCAGTGTAGAACAGGTTGACACGCCCTTCCTCAAGGTCTTTCCAGAATGTGTTTTTGAATGTGGACACTGGCTTGATGACATCAGTGCTGTCCCTTGAAGAATCCTCGTCCTCAGTGGAGAGTTTCCTCCCCTCCATCTGAGCCTGCAAACATTAAAAAAATACACCCATTCATTATTGCTGTGCTTAAATTCAAAAGTTTAAATGTACTCTCAATCACCTCATTATTCAGTTCTATTTAGCCTATCTTAACACCTCCTTTATATAATACATAAGAGTGCTGTTTTTATCAGCTGTCTGGGAAACCTGCTGCATGCTGTGACCCAGTCTCTACTTAAATTACAGCACCACACTTCCTCTCTCAACAGCCTGGCACTCCAGCAATAACTCAGTGTCATAAACTCCACTCTCTCATTCTTCTCCCTCTCTTTTCTTTCCCTCCCTCTCCCCCTCTCTCTTTTTCTAATCTCTATTCCCTTTTCTCTCTCTTCTTTTTTTCTCTCTCTCTCTTCTTTCTTTCTTCCTATCTTTCTTTTCTCTCTCTTTTTCTTTCTTTCCTCTGCCCTCCCTCCCTCCCTCTCACTCTTCTCTCTCTAACCCTTTCTCTCACCATCTCTCTCTTTGCTCTTTCTCTCTCTCTCACCATCTTTTTCTTCCTCTCCTCTGCCCTTTTCTTTCTATCCTCCTCCTTCTTGGCCTGGTAGTCCTCCACCAGATCTAGACAGGACTGCAGGTTGTCGACCGGTTCCCAGGTGTCGTCTGCTGGACCGTAGTTCTTCCACCTCACCTTGTACAGAGTTTTACCCTATAACATGAATTAAAATGCAGCAATTAATCTCCTGAATTCAATGTAAAATTTAATATGATCTAGAGCTTCAGTATCATATATTACTAGATTCTTGTAATTGAGAATCAATATAAGTTGAGACAATACATGTATTGAGTTTTCATTGATCACAGATGTCGCACTCAAAGAAATATAATATTCATTGAAATATATGTGTACAATTTATTTCAGTATTTCCTTTGTTGGCTTAATTCTTACAGACTCTAATATATGCCATTTTTTTTTTTTCCCTAGTCCCAGATGCCATTATGGTAGCTATAATTATGCACATGACCCCGGGGATATGCATTACATGCAGTATGACCTTGTTTTAGCAGCTTATCAGACAAGTGAAGGAAAACAACAAACACTGACTTCCATTGAGGGATACAGCGGTCATAAGGAGGAAGTCTTATTAGCACACTGAGTTAGTGACTTCTTCCTCTCAATCAATACCCCCACAGATTTATACTGTAACACAACAGCTCTTATAGCCACTGTAAGGGTCTATGCCACATGGCACATATCGCACATGTGTGAAGTGTTAACTGTAGGTATTAGGTAGTGTCATGATAATCCTCACATTTATGTCTTTCACAGAATTCACTCTGTATGCTGATAGATATCTAAACATTCTTTGCTTTGTTTTCTCCATTTATATTTGGTCTCTGTTGTATACAAATAATATTACCTAATTAAAATTTAAATCATTGTCTTTGGGATGAAAAGAAATGCCACGTCAAGCAAAATGCATTTCATACACGGCAAAAAATTCTATCAGACTAACTACAGCTTAAAGATGTTTGCATAATACACAAATAAACATCCTCCTGGAAGAAAATCAATAAGTTGGGGATAACAGCTTCCCTCTCATATGTCTTTTTTTTACATTACCAGAAAGATATTACTTTGGATAAATCATCACATTGAATTCCTAGATCCTGTGACCTTATGGCATTCTGCCAGAAAAGATCACTGACCTATATACATATATATGTTTCAAAAACATGACCTTGTTCCATTTCACATGATAAAATCCTAATTCTAGAAGCGTAATAGATGCAGTACATTTAACACGTTTAACAGAATATATTATGGAGGGGCATCCATTAAGTTGATTAAGGTCAACGATCTAATGTACAGTACCTGCAGTGCTAGATTATAACTGTAATTGTCACATGAAGGCAGGAATAATATTCAATCAATTCCACATGTAAAACGTGTGTGTGTCAATGAGTATGTGTACTTTACATATGACAAATGAATACCTCATGAATATTTATACACTTTTTGATTAACACTTGAAGTACATGAATCTAAAAACTTGAACTGAATACCATCTGTGAATTAATCACAATTTTAGTAACAATCTATAACAAAGAACACGGAAACAATAGGGGCTAGTAATGAAGTCAAACAGGATGTTTATAACCTTGTTACATACAGTTAAACCCTTCACATTCTCATAAACACAAGTTTAATTTAATTACGACTACACTCAATAATAAAACATAATATACTGTTTCATGGATTTACGAACATTTCTCTTACAAAATTTAAAACTGACCATTACTGTACATACAATGGTCATTAAAAGGTCCCATAGAAATGTGTTATCCTGAGTCATAATGTAATCAAAGAGCTGTCCACATTTTTGTGGTTAGACTCCCCGACTCCAGGGGTGTGGGTTTAAATATACGATGTGAGCTGTGTATATAAGTGTGTTGAGATATACATGCATATCCCGGACTCTTAATCTTGTTTATTTCCTTATATCGTTACGAGACTGCACGCGCCGGGACGTGCCCGCTTTGACGGGGGCCATCGCTCCAAATCAGGAACGCCTACGTTAGGTCCTTCAGGAGCAAGGTTTCCGGGTTTATCAGTCTTCCTTTGTTTCTTCTATGAAAGTTATCAAAACCATAAAGGACTACGATATTACACCATTTGTTTATACTCTTTTCCCTCTTTTAGCCGGTCTAGATATACAAATATTTCACACATTGCCAGGGGCACCTGTTTCTTTGTATATAGAGCTCTCTAGTGCATTTTCACAGCAGGGAACTCGCGCATGCACTTACCCGATTTTTGGACATCCCTACAATCCTTTCCACTTCAAATAACTCATCTTCCGACTTTCCAGAACTAGCTGCTTCACTGGATTCTGAAATGGAGGGCGATGCCATCGCCATATCGGCCGAGGCTCCTTCTCCGTGAGATGTACTGCCTTCCATCTCCGCCATGTTCCATTCACACAGTGAGTTGACAGGAAGCTAGGCGAGTGTACATGAGCGGGGGTGTACAGGTTGATAGCAATGCATTTGTGATTCAGTTGGATATAAAATTAGAGCATCCTCCATTACAAGGAGCAAATTTTAATTAAAATCAAATTAGAGTCTAAATGAGTCAATTCTAGACTGAAAGTTTGACAAATATTCTTTTAAGTAAAGTGATACACCCCTTTCCCTAAATAATGATTTCGTCCGACCTCCCACTATTTTGCATATGAAAAGAAACACATGTAAATTACAACCAAATGTGTTTTATTATTGAATTTTTATTGCATTATTATTATGAGTAACCTATTTTCATGGGATAAAATATGTCCAATCTTCTCATAAATACACGAACGTTCATTACAGAAACTTTGTAGGTATGTGTGTATGTACACAAAGGCAGTGAACTGGAACAGCCGCCGTGCCGCCAAAATACACGTCCCATTTACAAAATGTTTACGCTGCTGTTCGCATTCTTTTGCTAAGCGCTCAGTTATCGAGTAAAAGCCGACATAATGATTTTTTTTAGAGCTTTATGATAAAGAAATATCTTTTTATTTAAATATATATTTCAAATTTGTATATTACCTGAATACTATATAGAGCTTAAGGCCTAGTCGATCAGAGACTGGTGCTTACATTCGTGAAGTTGGCATGGTAATAGCAGACACATTATGTATAAAATTTTTATTTATATGTCTCTGAAGCTAGGTACATATGTATTAATTTGTTTAATTTAATCCAACGTATATCATCGTATGTTCTTAATTAAGTATCTTGATTTAGTATAAAATGAATCTTAATTTATGTATAACATATATATATGTATATACATGATATGATATGATGATTATTAATGGATGATCTCGGTACATATACAATTGTTTCCATTGTATATGTGGGACCTGGAAGGCGTGTCCCGTGTATACACGTTTTATTTCACAGCAGGATGTGTCGTTAACTTTAATGCATAGTTAATTAAACAATTAATTAACCATGTTATACACACTGTATGTCAATGTCAAAAATACCAAGACAGTATAATTCAGCACATGCATATGATTGTTAAATAAAAAATACATATACATTGGTACTAAAAGTTTCAAACTAAGGCAATTCATTATTTTTCGAAAACCAGCATAAAATATGTTGCTTTCATTATTTAATCCCTGAGTGACAGTTGTTAGATGTAAAAAGAAATGTCTTTTGATCAAGTTTCCATGTATAATATATTTTGGACAAACACTATTCTAAGAAAGCAATGCAATCACAACAATACTTACGACTTTTCAACACTGTATATAGCCATTCCCCATATTGAATTAAATTCCAGGTTTTTCAACATCGCCATGCATGTTTGACAGTTTATAAAAAACGGAACCCCTAAATTATATTGACTTTCATTATCATTTGTCATTTGCATTTGTTAAAAAAACATTATACTCACGGCTATTCTGAAGTTGATATTAAAAATGATGCCCAAATTTCTAATTGGCAATAATTATGTAGTGTTTGGAGATCGTGTCGGAACTCCCATGGGTACCAATTGTGCCCTTATAAATATGAGCAGGCCTATTTTTGTGATTTATATGAAGCAGATTTTATTCAAAAACTAATACGAGAAGAAGAAAACACTTGCTGCCCTTCAACTCGAAATGCATAAACATCGTGTACTGTCTGTTTTATGAATATTTGGATGTTATACAAGAAAAAGACGTTGTAATGCATATGGTAACCAAACAAATAGACTTTTTCATAAACGTGATGACTTTATAACTTTTCTTTCATAACCTTCCTTTATTTATGTAAAAGTATACTTTCATTTGAATTTAAGACATATATATCTAAATTCAAGTTGACTAGATGTAAATGCAAAAGCATTTGCTTATTGATTTACCTACAATGAATTAAGATAAGCTATTGAAAAACAAGTTGATGAAACAAGAACTGCCTAGTACCTGTTGATCATTGTTGAAAAATTATTGCTATACCTTTGTGCATCGTCGGAAACCCACAGGTCATCTTGTCTTTACTTATCACTTTGCTTCTTTGCAACTGACCAAATTTCTAAACGATGGAGAGATGACTCTTCGACGGTCGAGATAATTACAGGGGGGGTGTTTATTTGTTTTATCAATAGTTTACTATTAGTTTGATAATTGTTACCACTTTTTAAAGATATATAAATTATATAAGAATGAATGGCTCGGTGTTATTTATCTGATCATGCAATTTATGCTATTTTATAAAACCTTGGTCCATGTTCATAAACAAATTTACTTGCTGGTACAAGAGAGACAACTTCTGGAAGATTTATGATTTGTATTTGACGCCCCACCTCTAATCCCCTCCCATTAAAAAAATATATGATTTTCTAAAGATTAAGTCGACTTAAAAAAAAGAAATATTTCAACATACAACATAACTATTTTGGCATGCAAAATAAATGTTATAAGAAAAAAAAAACTGGAATTTGTTCAAATATCGACTTTCAACAATCAAGATCCAACTTAATTTAAGATGCTTACAAGCAAGATATTTATGTGGATAGTCGAGATTAAGATGTTGATCTATATACATGTAACTGAACTCTTTATGTTGACATATGCGAGATAAATTCAATGCCGATATAAATAAGTTACATGCCCATCGACATTTAATAAGTTGTATGTCGACATATAAAGAAAGACCATGTTAAATTTTTTTTTTTAAATACTCATCACATTTCTTGTATGTTGACATACTCCGGTATCCATGTTGACATATCTCTCTTGCATGTCGACACACTTGTTTGGATGTTGGCACAATTTTGGCATGTTGACATATATATTTTTTTTGCATGCATGGTGACATATTTATAGTTTATTTTGACACAATTATCTTGCATACTTACATAATGTATAGCATGTTGAATGACATACTGATCTTGCAACCTGACATACTAATAAATCTTGCAGCTTGCATGTTAACATAAAAAATCTTGCATGTCAAAATAATTAATTAGCATGTTGACATAATTTCTGCATTTTGACACCTTGCATGTAGTCATAATTAAATTCCATGCTGTCATATGATTGAAACTATTGAAATTATAATAAGCCCTAGCATCAACCGTTCTTAAATTACGATCAAGGTTATAAATTAAAGATTTTTAGAGTAGATCAAACTCAACGGTCAAGGTAAAAAATTCCAAATTACTGGTACCAGTAAAAGACCTTGACACATGAAATACATGCAAAATATGGGCAAGGTTAAAGTTTTGATGGACAGAGACTTAAAATCATCAGTTTCAGAGGTGTAAAAATCTGTAGCAGTAGGATTTCTCCTGCACCAAGCCAACCCCCTACTCTCTCCACTGGAAAATTGGTTTATAATAGAGAAGGATTTCCCTTCCCGGAAAATTGGCTTTAGAGCAAAAGAACCAACTGTTGAAAGTCGTAGCAAATGTTTTACAAAAGGGGTTCAAACTCCAAAGTCAAGGTGTAAAATGTATTTTCCAAAGGTCGTGTCACATAGAATGTATTTGAAATCGATTTTTACGCCCCTGTAATGAAGGTTCCGAGTTACATGTATATATAGTTTTTGCCATATCCGTCCATCTGTCTGTTTGTTCGCCATACGTTATCCTTGCTCATAACTTTTGATTGGTTGGAGCTAAGACTTTTGTATTTCACATGTGCATTTCTTACAATTGAGACGAGACCAACATCTCGTATTTTCTATCGGTACCAACATATCTGACCTTGGAGCTTGATCCAATTCTGCAAAAAAAAAAAAAAAAAAAAAAAAAAAAAACCAAATGTATGGAATGCCATATACGACAGCCAACTGCTTACTGCCAACTGCTGACTGCTTACTGCCAACTGCCACACATATTTGAATATATTGTATATTTGTATTGATATTTATATGAATTTTTACAAAAAAAGAGGGGGAAAAAAAGGCACGGATCCAGGACCTTTTTTCCAAGGGGATCACCCTGGTAAAATTGAATTGAATAAAATAACCAACATGTTTTATCTTATATGCGTTTGATAAAGTACATTGTTTAATTTTTTTATTTGCTTTCCTACTTGAAATAAGTAATAAAATGACTATTTTAATCTTTAAAGACCCCCCCTCCCCCGGAGACAATAAAACCTTTGAAGAGAGAATAATAATAAAAAAGATTTGTCGTTTCGCAGAGAAAGATGTTTTGAAAAGAAATTTCCGTTTTCCATTATATTCTAAGGTTAAAAATTTCCTTAAATTAAAGATGTATATCTCTGTGTTTTATAATGTTTCACATGCATAGATCGGGGGGGAGGGGGGTGCATGTAAAATTTGTACAGTCATACGTTAAATAAACTAAACGAACTACCAGTATAACAGATCTTGGACCCTCCACTTAGAAAACGCCGGTCAAACATTTATATCTCTTTGTTTGTGCAAATAAAATATCTCTGAAATTTGTAAAGTTAATTAATGCACAAACTAAACCAACTAAAAGTTATTTAATGTATAAAATAAATCAACTCAAAGGGACCTATTTACATTCGTGTTAAGTTGGTATGAAAAATGTCATACACATGACGCATATGAACCCCTTCTCCCCGACCGAAATAAATTTTCACATTTAGGAAAGGACTTTACGTATTTTTTTCTTGTCAAGAAATTTCTGGGTTGGATTTTTTTTACCAGAGTGACCCTCTTGGAAAAAATTTCCTATAGATCCGCGCCTTTTTTTTTTTAAATTTACATAAATATCAATATAAAAAAAAATTATTTAAATATGTGTGGCAGTTTGGCAGTAAGCAGCTGACAGTTGGCAGTAAGCAGTTGGCTGTCGTATATGGCATTCCATACTATGCAAATGTACAGGTTAACCTTGGTTAAAACTTTTGAACAGTTGTTGCTATGGCTTTCATACTTATACTTCACAAGGGCTTTCACTTTTATACTTCACAAGTAAATTAATTATGACATGACTTTTCCTAGGAATAAATCAATATTTTTTACCATTTGACCCACCTTTAAAAAAGCTTTAACCTTGACCTTGACCATTTTGTTCTTGATTATATACCGGTAGTTCCAAGGCCTTCATATTTCATAGACGTTTTTCTTGTGTCCTGACCTTCTTTTGGAGACCAACAAATTGGACCTTTTAATCTTGACCTTGGAGTGTGACCTACTTTTGTAAAATTAAAACTTGGCTAGAACTTTTGAACAGTTAGTAGTAGGGTTTTCCCATTCAACAGGTGAATTCCTTCTGACAAAACCTTACTTTGAATACCAACAATTTTGACCTTTTGACATTGACCTTGCAGTTTAACTTCTTAAAAAACATTAACTTTGGCTACAACCTTTGAACAGTAAGTATTACTAATAAGTCTTTTATATTTCATACATGTTTCTACGATAAAGGCTTCTTTGTCAAGACCTTTCCTTATATGTAAAATGTTTTGATCTTTTGATTTTCGATACAAATTTTGACCTTTTGACCCTTGGAGTTTAACCTCCTTTTGAGAAACTTTAACCTGGCCATAACTTTTGAACAGTTGGTGCTAGGTCTAAATTCATAAGTGTATTTCTTTTCCTTAGGATCTATTTAATTGAACCCTTTGATATTGACCTTGTAGTTTTACACACATTTAAATCATGTTAACCTTGGCCAATAACTTTTGAATGGTTGGTGCTTAATTGGGCTTTCATATTTCAAATGTGTATTCATTAAAACAAGTCCTTTCTCTGGGTGACTATATCTTTGATCTCTGTCCTTGGAGTTTGACTTGCATTTGAGAAACTTTAACTTTGCCATAAGTACCACACAGGGACATCAGTGTTTTACAAAATATCTTGTTATGACTGAAATTGTCTGATTACTCCAGCCTTATTTGGTCAATTCTTGACATTTTTTTTTATCCTAACATGCCTTATTATTGGTGCTTGTGTGTTTCCTCCTTAATACCTTTGACATTCTTGAGGAAAAAAATAACACAAAGATATATTTCATAAAGATAATTATATTTTTATTGAATTGACTACAGGACATCTTTCATAAAAATGATATGAAATTCAAGCACTCTTCAATATACATAAACAATAGAATCCTGGACATAAAAATCACTGATTCTAATATATCCCTCATCACCTGGAAAATCCATGCATAGCAAGAAACAGAACAAATGAAATAAAGCACTTAATGATACCTTGTAAAACATGCACACAGTCTGATTTATAAAGATGCATTAAGTTTTACATGGAATAGTAAATGGTGATTCATTCAGAGAGTGGCAATTTAAATCTTTTAAGCTGCACGGTACATCATTTCTAATTAATTTTATAGACAGTAACATGTGAACAACTACATGAGTACATGTACATCAGTTAACTTTGTCTGGTCATACAAACACATCTGTCTGTTGAATGTAATGACTACTTTATCAAACAACTACACTTCATCACTCCCGCTTCCTATTTCTGAAGAGTTATCTCCCCTTCCTGCCACTCTGTGACCATCGTTATTTCGGAGAGTTTGCCCACGGCTGATGAGTAAAAAACAAGATCACCCGTGGTTATCCCGCGATGCGCTGTGACCGCACTGTACACAAATACAGACAGTTATTCTGGACAATATTTTGTTTTAGTTAATTGGTTCAAACCGTCATCAATACTGGTCTCATACTTCTGACAGTACACATATTTTCTTCAGACATTTTAACCATCATCAATATTCCAGTTAGAATTAAGGAATAAACAACTTAAATTACAAGGTTCTGAAATGCTTCTCGATTGCCCCTGTACTATAATTTTAAATAAGTTTTTCAATTTGTTGCACAAGTCCATGGATTTGATAGAACACAGCCTCGTTTCTGAGCTCCCTCAGTACTTGACGGTTTCTTGGCAGGGCATCGAGTTTGATTCCCCCATCTCGGAGGTAATTCAGGATGTAGCGGAAATGAGTTCCATCCCTGTCTATAAATATAGTGCCGTCGTCTTCTACGCGTACCTCGTGGCGACCGCTAAACATGGCTGCCAGCATGGACTCGGAATCCCTGGTTAGGGTTAACCTGGAAGTGGTAAAGATAACACCCCCAATATCTAGCTTGATCCTCCCCTGAAAAAGCAAGATATTATTTATTCATTAATTTTTATTCTATATTTTTTTGCTCTTCTTACCTTACATTCAAAAGCACATGCACACTATGTATATTCAAAATTTTGAATATTTCTCATAAATTTTTACAGCAATAAACTGATGTTATTATTTTGTACAATTTTGTATGCAAACAGGTAATAATTTAAATACCTCAACGCAAATCTGCTCTTTCAAAACAGATCTGATAATTGTTGTCCAACAAGTAATTTCCCATACACAACAATATGAGTAAAGTTGGTTTGGATTATGTACATAATTAATTAAAAAAAACATTTTGAAACCTTCTTACTAAGCTACTAATTAATCAAGGAATGACAAAGCACCTTACTTTGAACTATCACTCAGTTAGCAAAAGGACAAGTATACTCTACCAGATTTTACACAAGGTTTACCTTCCCAAATGGACAAATTTTATCTTCGTTTTAACCAGGAGTAAACAGGTGAAACTAAATCACCTAATGGCTTGAGGAGAAAACTCTTGTAGATATATAATGCTGTTTTTCTCGGCTTTTTTTACGGCATGTATACCTATATATCAGTACAAAAGAAACTAGCATACAACATATTTATAGGACCACTGCATCAATGTGTATCAAATACAAACCACAGTAAATATATCATTTTTATTTGCTTTCATGTATTTCTAACTTTGCACCTTTATTCTTAGCTTTCGATATATTTGCAGATTTTTTTCAGAATGAAATGTTGAAAATGTGGACCATTATAGAAATGCAACAGTGACGCAATATGCTTTACAGTGGCAGAGACAAATATTTAATAGGCAGATGAATGGGTAAACTTGTTCAAATGTGAGGAAAATATAAACAGAATAGAAACCTGTATAAGTCATTAACTTAATGACTTGGCCTGTCACTTGGTCTGTGGGTAACAAAATGGTTAATGTCTCGGAATAGATAAGTATACCTTATCCTACATTATTCACCCAATTTTACACTTCATCAGGCCTGCAAAGAAATTGTTAGGAGAAAAACACACATATCACATTGTACAATTCAAGTTACATCTGCTTTTTATGAGATGGGGTATTCACAAGGAAAAATGTATACATAGAAAGGCAAACTTTTTACAGAGAATGTGACTGGCAAGGGAGGTAACTCCTAACTCCTGCTAAAGGGAGATAAATTAGGATTTAGTTTTCTTTTTGAACTTACACAAGATTACACAAAATGTGGATTTAGAGGAATGTCATTATGTTGTGGACTTTTTAGAAGTACCTGTGTGAAACCCCATTTCTTAAAAGTTCAATCCAACTCATAGAAGTCCAGAAAATGCTGGGTATGTACATGTGTAACTATATACTGTCTGATGTGCACCCAGGCTGCTCTTGTATATTCTATAGGAGGTGGATTGTTTTAAGACTCTCATCAATCAACTCATTATTTGCAAAACAGGATCATTCTTTTCAATCAAAATAATTCATTAATAGGAAGTTTTATCTGTGTTTTTTTTTTAATATTTCTTGCACTTACCTCGACTGAACTTTTGTGTTATTTTTCATATTTTGATGCACTGATAAAATTAATATCAGTCCTCAATTTAAGATTTAGGGAACTGTAAGAATGTGTTTATCAAGTCATGGTTTGATAATTTAATCCAGCTCTGTAAAATAGTTATATAGATCCCTTTTTACCATTGAATCATGTTTAGATGAGGTACCACACTTGATATTATCAATGTAATTTACCCTTAGACTGTGTGGACTTAACAAGGTCCACAACTCTTGAATTCAGGGTACATTAGAACCATTTTTTCCCTTTCATAGATTTATACTCTCTTGTACAAACATTGGCACTAAATTCCATGGCACTTAGATCCAGGAGGCGGAATCAAGGGGAGATAACTAGATTTTGGTCACCAGTCTAGCTGTTTCCCGTTTCCTTTATGGAGGTCCCTGAGTCTTGATCAGGGTACTTTTTCATCAGTAACCTGTACATGTATACCTTTTGGACTTCGTGTAGTTTCTCCATACGGGAGATTTCATCCCGGAGCTGTTGCCATTGACGACATATCTCCTCCTTCTCTCTCTGAATCTCGCTGTCTAACTTCTCCTGCTCTTTGTGAAGCCTGCTCTCCTTTTCCCGTAACGCCTTCTCCTTTTTCTCCAGTTCTCTTGTCCGTGTCTGGAGCTCGGTTTGGAGATTCTGGAGATGTGACTTTTCCTCCTGGACGTCTTTATGGAGGGTCCCTATGGTGTCGATGCGAGATGAAACATAATTCTCCAGGGTTTCTGTCACACTCTCATATTTGTTTCTCAGACAGTCCTTTAACTCATTCAAAAGCTTCTCTGAAAATATGGAGAAAATAAATTAATTGAAACACAATCTGACTAAAATCACATCCTTTGATCCGCTCACATAGGACCCTGTCTAGCGATCTATGTGAGCGGATCAAAGGATCCCTCTGATTTTAATAAGATTGATTGAAACATGTCCGTTGCCTAAAGGGCTTGAAAGGAAGCGTTTTCATATAAAGAAAAAAAAATTAAAGCTGAAGTGATATTATGTATGCATAAATTTAATGAAAATCATTTTTTAGTCAGACAAATTTTAACAGACAATGTGTGCTACTCCAGAGCTATATTTTACCGAGGCGCTCATCCATGTCCGTCAGTTCCACACTGAAGTCAGGCTCTGATTTCTCCTCCTCAGTTGTCTCCCCTTCCTCCTGTCCCCCATCACACAGGTGGATTCCGCGCTCCTCGGAGTTCTGTAGGCGGTCATGACAGATACAGCAGGTCCTCTCCTCCGTGTCTGATCGGTCGTTAACCTGCACATTATCTTGGGGATTCCCCTGGACGGGCTGGAGATTCCGATTGTTACCGCGGTGTCTCTGATAGTCATATGGCACCGCATTGTTCTGATAGTTGTAAGCTGGTGGTCCCCACATAGGTGGCCTGAACTGAATTTGGTTCCCGTAAGGTGGTGCCATGAAAGGCATGTTTGGAGGGACGGCTGGTCCCTGGTGGTGGTGGGAGATTCTATCATCTATAAATGGCATTCTCTGATTAGGAAAATAGTCTGGATAAAAGAACGGTGGTCCCTGGCTTGGCATGGTGAAACCTGGCTCAGAAACAAACAATATGAAAATTATTTAAAAAGTTGATAAATGTCATAAAATATAATTAAACTAACTTAAATGAGACCATATTATCTGATATTCTTTAAGTCAAATAGTCCTTTCGATAACCCCTCTCAAACTATAACAAAAGGTCTATGTGCTGCAATGCTCACCTGAGTCACCAGGCCTTCTTTTTTTAATACCAGTGGCCCTAGTTAGAATAATCTAACTGTGTCTCGGTACAAGCCCTCACCACAGTTAGAATACGTCCCATATACTTGCAATGTAGCAAATCGGAGCGGATCCGCTCCAAAACGATTTTGAAGAATATAAAATGATTTGCACTGGGAATAACTACCAAAATAATCAAAACAAACCTTTTTGAGATTGCTTATGCCTTTTGTCCCAAAAAATAATCCATATAAATACGAAAATCCAATTAATTTTCTCAACGTTTTTCTCTCCATTCAAATTACCTGCCATGTTTACATTCGGAACTCTCTAGATTGTTCCTAGTAAATGCACTATGCGAGTTATCGCCCGTGTTTCGTTTTGCTACATTACGAATACACGGAACGAATTCTATCGTTAAACCGGGTTGAGGACAATATCATTTTAACGATAGAACATTCTATCTACAGTGGCCCATCCTAGCCCTAAGACCATGATTTGAACAAATTTGAATCTTTTAAAACTCTATACCGGATACATCCTGTATAGTGTACTTGTAAATATCTTATCGCTATCATTATAACCAAAATGTTACTGAAAATCAGATTTTTTCTCAATACATATTCAGATATCATAAACAACTCTTTTATGTGCTATTGTTATCTTCAGACCCTATCGAAGGGGAGGGGGGGGGGGGAGTATTTGAACAATTTTGAATCTATAGACACCCAGTGTTTGCCCCGTATCCTTGCAAATTGAAAAGAAGAATTTTAATTAATTTTTCTGATCATTTGGAAATATTGTACCAGAGAAGTCAAAGTTAAAGGACAAATGACAAACTCTGACTGACAAAGTTTAGTTAATTGAGTCATTGGCCCAGGTGAGCTAAATCAATCATGAAACTTATTATAAATACTTTAATTTTCTATAAATTTATTTAAATAATATTTATTGATCCATAAAACAAAACCGAACAATATTAGCAATGAAGGAAACTAATATCCTTTCTAAGCTACAACACAACACGATTTGTTTACATAGTCAGCTGATTAAATCTATTTATAACCGAAGTCAATCAACTGTATCAAAATATACTGAATGTTATTTTGACATTTGTATGCAGTTTATAACTGAATGGGACTTACAAAATGCGATCAAACTTTATACCACGGTTCCCATTGACTTATTTACATCAGTGTTATTGTTGCCTTCCCTCTCGAATGAACGAATCTTACGTGTTTGCCAATTTCTGCCAAATACAGCTGGGCTGCCACTGTCAATACACAACAAACATTTCCGACTGACGTAGTCTTCGGCAAAGTCCGGTATATTCCGTTGACGTGCCCACCAGATGGAGTTTTAAACCGGAAGTGGTGTTGTTTTTTGTAAACGAAAATAGGGGGAAACACTTGTTGCTTTATTAGAGTATTTATATTTGTGACCTTAAAATGGATAAATTAAAGAAAGCGCTGAGTGGAGATGATGAAGATGAAGAATCTGGGATTGTTACACAGGTCAAGATAAATTCAATCGTGTAAAAATTATATCAATCAGCACCACATGAATGACAGTCATGTGCATGCTGATGATTTGGCAATTTCCTTGAGTTTTCATATTGATGTTGTTATATTGATATTTAGGACAAATTCTTTTGTAATATATAAAAATGTGTGCAAATTTTCTGTATGTAATGAGTAGAAAACACATATGTCAGAATATTCACATGCCGGCACTTGATTTAAAAACACTGAAAAACAAATTCAATACGCCTAAGTTGCATGGAAAGCCATGGAGTATAAAAAGAAAGATTTTTTAGCTATAGACCTACATAAAGGGAGAGTAGGATTTTTTTACCCTATTGGTAAAATAAATAAGCCCGTACAGACATATTTGACGTCCAAAATTGTGTCGACATTTTTCAAGCTTTTTTTTCCGATCTAGATATTTTACGTGCAAGGAAAACGTCAGAACTGGTGACATAATGAAAACTTGAAATTAGCTTTCTCCAATCAGAGCATAGACCTAAAACAAAGGGACCGCCGACTCCTATGACGTCACAATAGATATCACTATACGATCTCCCTCCGATTGCAGCGCCCTCACCGGGATGTATAGAAAACATCCGGCATTACAAAGATAACGTTATTTACATCTACATTGTCGAGATATTATAGCATTGAATGAATTAAACTTTTGCCGAATGTACCAAATTCTTCTTACTAATACACTAAAGAGTTCCTTGAGCAGCTTTCGAGGTATTTATCTTGTTTTTAATGTGTAAAAAAAGCTATAGGCCTACAGTTTGAGTATTTAACATGACGGATGCATGATCACCATGATCACAGAGAAGCTGTCAGAATGCATGCGAGGTTAATCAAGATGATGTTCGATGAAAAGAAAGTTAATATATAAGAAACAAATAGGCCTATTAATACGTGGATTTTTTAAAGAGCAAATATCTTATGTTTTAATATAGCAGTGTTTGACAACGCTGATGGTTCGCAACAGGCCCCTCATCAGGCTCATGTGGCACCCTATCATGACTATTGTGCAGTAACACGAGTAAGGAGTTAGAAATTTATAACCAATAGGAGTATTCTTTGACAAGCCTATAGCCCCCCCTTTTTTTGCAAAGATATGATGTAGGCATTGATCATCGGGGCTGGGGCGTGGGTTTAGCCCCCCACCCCCCAATTTCGACAGGCACATTATAGTTTTAGCCAAAAAATGGATAAGTGGTAGTGTTTGGATAAAAATTTGGTACACACTACTGAAAGATGTTCGATCCTAATACCCCCCCCCCCCCCCCCCCCCCCAGACAGGATTTTCGAGTTTGTACGAAATGGACACATTTTCCTGTTTCTTTTTTTTTTTTTGGCTTGTCAAACTTTTTATGGGTTTGAAATTTAGCATAGGGCTAAAAGGTAGTTCATTATTTTTGCACACAAATTTGATATGCATCTTTAAAAAAAAAGAAGAAGAAAGAAAAGTTGACCCCATTTAAATATGATTATTTTAATAAAAAAAGAACATTTTCCCTAACTACATAACAAGGTATAGGGAATGTAATTTCATAAAAAGAAAAAAAAAGAATAAGAATTACAAGTGCCTGTATGCTTTGAGCTACAGTAAGTTATTAAAACTTCTATTTAGGCAGTGGGTTCAAGATCAAACAGTTTAATCATAATGGCAGTAGAACTTGTATATATATAAAATAATTATTTACCAGTGTTTGTTCTTTAAAGATGCTGATAAGATTGAACATGATGCTCAGCGATTAATATTTTGTACTTTGCAGTTGTGATTGATTACACTGAAAATAATTATTTTAAAAAGACATTAAATATGCCATACATGTACATCTAAAGCAGTGCTCACCAATATAAACTCACTATAGAAAAGGATGACTTTTTAAACTGTAAATCATCTTAAAAAATTTAAAGAAGTAACTATCATATACAATTTTAAACCATGCACAATTAATGTTAATTAGCAGTGCTTTAAGTTGAAAAAATTTTTTAATAAATAAAAAAGTGGAAACGTCTAAAATATAACAATGATTTTAATAATATTTCATTACAGTCATACTAAATAATTTAATATTTATATTGATGCAGTTTGTCTTTGAGTTATAATATACAAAAGTTAATAATAATCACATTCTGGATATACACAGTATAAATGTAGTTGAAAAAAATGGAGTTCTAAACATGATAATTAAATCATTGAAATCCAGTCATATGCAACTCATCCGTGCATACATGGGACACACCACTTGGCACTTTTGCTGATTTAATCCTGTGCAGGTTTGTAACCAAGCATTGTTCTGTCACATTTGACTTATCATACCAGATGGTACATGGCATAGTACATGTTCTCAAACATTTTCCATAGAGTTTGGTATGCAAGGCAGACCCCTATTCTCATTTGAGAAGTGGACAGGCTATCTACAAAACCTGTGGGAAAAAAATATAAAAAATCTCTTAGAAAATGTTTTGATCACTGACAATGCTGTAATCCTAAATTAACACGATTAAATAAATATTTTAAGAGTTATAACCAACTTTTTAAAAAATACATGTTTATGTAGATCATTACCGGGAACATCTCAATTTATTAATAAGTTGTTGATCTAAACCTGTAAACGGCACTTCACGATGCATTTATTATTTATTCTTTATACAGCATAGATCTGAAATTCGTTGTTGTTTTAATATTAGTAGATAAATTGTGTCCTTATTTTGTAAAATAAATAAGATTATAATCATGTACTACCGTAAAATATAATCGACAGCATTCAGGAGATGTCATGTCATAGTCAGCTGATGTCTGCAGTTAAAACGTTTCCATCGACTCCATAGGGTAAAGTTATAACTTTCGAAGTAGTCAGCCGAGATCATTTCGTCGAAGAAAACTTGGATACGTGATTAATTTTTCTAATTTGTTGTTATTTCCTTAAAGAATGCAAAAAATCACGATGCGACAACATTGATTTCATATCAGGAAGTCTGTTTCTATACATCCCGGTGAGGGCGCTGCAAGCGCAAGAAGATAGTGATTGTGACGTCATCAGTCGGCAGTCCCTTCGATTTAGGTCTATGATCAGAGTATACATTCTCAGGTTGATTTTTTAGAACTTGCAAACCAAATTAAATGTCAAACTCACAACATATCATTGCATGTACAATACTTTTAGTACTCACCATTGAACATCTTTTTTTTTGGTTCCTTTTTAGCTCACCTGAGCCGAAGGCTCAAGTGAGCTTTTTGATTTTTGTCCTTTTTAAACTTTTCACAACATCTCTGGGCCAATTTTGACCAAACTTGGTACAAAGCATCCTTGGGTGAAGGGGAATTTAAATTGTTAAAATGAAGGGACATATCCCCTCGTAATCAAGAAAAGACAAAAATAGGGTTGGGTCATTAAAAAATCTTCTTCTCAAGAACCACTGTGCCAGTAAAGCTGAAACTTATGTGGAAGCATCCTGGGGTAGTGTAGATTCTTTGTTCAAATCATGACCCCCGGGGGAAGGGCAATTCAAAGTTTTATATAGAAATATATAGGAAAAATCTTTGAAAATCTTCTTCTCAAGAACCACTGAACCAGAAAAGCTGAAACTTATGTGGAAGCATCTTGGTATAATGTAGATTCTAAATTGTTCACATCATGACCCCCGGGGGAAGGGCGGGGGGCCACAATGGGGAATGTTTTACATAGAAATATATAGGAAAAATCTTTGAAAATCTTCTTCTCAAAATGGGCCAGAAAAGCTGATTATGTGGATGTAGATTCTAAATTGTTTTCATGACCCCTGGGAGAAGGGCGGGGCCACAATGGGGTATCAAAGTTTTATATAGAAATATATAGGAAAAATCTTTGAAAATCTTCTCTCAAGAACCACTAAAAGCTGAAACTTATGATTTGGTATAATGTAATTCCATTGTTCACATCATGACCCCCGGGTGAATGGCGGGGCCACAATGGGGAATAAAATTTTTTAATAGAAATATATATTGGAAAAATCGTTGAAAATCTTCCTCTCAAAACCACTGGGCCAGAAAAGCTGAAACTTTTCATCCTGGTATAATGTAGCTTCTAAATTGTTAAAATAATGACCCCTGGGGGAAGGGTGGGGCTACAATGGGGAATCAAAGTTTTTTATAGAAATATATAGGAAAAATCTTTGAAAATCTTCTTCTCAAGAACCACTGGGCCAGTAAAGCTGAAACTTATGTGGAAGCACCCTGGGGTAGTGTAGATTCGAAATTGTTCAAATCATGACCCCCGGGGGAAGGGCGGGGCCACAATGGGGTATCAAAGTTTTACATAGAAATATATAGGAAAAATCTTTGAAAATCTTCTTCTTAAGAACCACTGGGCCAGAAAAGCTGAAACTTATGTGGAAGCATCTTGGTATAATGTAGATTCTAAATTGTTCAAATAATGACCCCCGGGCGAAGGGCACAATTTGGAATCAAAGTTTTATATAGAAATATATAGGAAAAATCTTTGAAAATCTTCTTCTCAAGAACCACTGGGCGTGAAGCTTATATATATAGAAGCATTCTAGGGTAGTGTAAATTCTAAATTTTAGGAATCATGACCCCCGGGGGAAGGGCGTTGCATTATAGGGAATCAAAGTTTTACATAGAAATATATAGGAAAAATCTTTGAAAATCTTCTTCTCAGGAACCACTGGGCCAAAAAAGCTGAAACATATGTGCCCATGGAAGGATCATGTGTTAGTGTAGATTTCAAAATGTCTAAATTATGATCAGTGGGGTAGGGTGGGGATGCATTATGTATAACAAGGGGGAAATCTGGTAAAGAACAGAATGGTCAAAGCTTCTCAGGTGAGCGATGTGGCCCATGGGCCTCTTGTTAAATTATACAAGTCTATGAAAACATTTTGTCAGACTGTCAAGATTTTTTTTCTTTTGGGCATTTTAAATTCCTTTATCAAAATGTAGAGTGATGTTTTCATACCCGAAAATGAAAACATTATCATTGATATTGGTGAGAATATGAAGAAGCGTTGTACATGTACTAAAATTGATTAATTGTGATTTTGGCATTTAATTCCATTCACAAGTATTGAAAATCAATTCCAGTTAGAGACGATGAAATTTCCAGTTTTCCTAACCATGATCTGGACAGGAAGACCATTAATTCTGGGTTTCCGAGTATTACAAAAATTGGGGAGTTGATGCAATCCACAGGCACCTTATAATGGCAACGGTTCTGATGTTGTCTTAGCACAAGAAATATCAAAATCATTAAAAAAGCCTGGAAAACATCAGATATTTTGGACTTATTTGATAGTGAGATTCATTGTTTTGCAAATAAAATGTTCATTTTGGTGACAGAGTTATGAGATGACTGCTGAAAACAAACTGCTGTTGAAGGTTTAGAGTATATTTTTCGCAGTATAGTAAAAGCGTTTCACATCCTGTAGATGCTATCTTTGCCGTACAAATCACTTCCTCCAGTATGAGTGCCTTCTTAATCTATATTTTATCCAGAAAAAACCCTAAATATATCATGTTTTACTTTTATAAAATTTCTAATGGTAAATTTGGTTCTAATTTTTAAAAATTTTCATTGACAACTAATTTAGAAAAAATTATACTTTTATCATATAGGTATTGTATGTTCTTGTATTTCTTAGCTAGTGTATTACTTTACTAAAAAGTTGCCTCTATTCCCCATGTTTTTGTTGGTTCAGTTGTTGAAAATGAAAACACTCAGACTGGAAAATATCAGGGCAAAAATGGTATTACAGGAACAAACAATACACATTTACACATAGTCTAATACACACATTGCATGTAATAAGTATCAATTAATAGTACATGATATGTATTTTCAATAGGATTGAATGTTTTTAAAGACAGAAATATCTTTCTTTTTAATGATTCTAGCCTGTATTCCTTTTTTTTAACTGTGATATTTAATATGTAAAAACAATGTGACAGGGCAAACGTTGAATGTAACATAGTCCTAAGGGAGATAACTGGAGTTTGTAAACTTCATCAAATTTCCAAGGCGTACCCTCTTTTCCTGCCAAGTCATTCTTGATTGTACCAAATAGTGAATGTTCTTCAATTTACTAAATTTATGTAAAGTATAGATTACTTGCAGTATTCATGTTATTATTCATGGTAAGGATGTGAAACTAAAAACTGTAATTTAAAAAGTAGATTTCTGAAAGTACGTGTATTTCATCTTTGCTGTAAATTGTATTTTATATTTCAAATAATTCTGTTAACCAATATATTTCCAATGGCAATTAAATATATACATGTAACTGCATTTATTAAAAAAAAGATTGAAATATTTGTTCTGAAGACAGCTACAGCAAAAAGCAACTGATATTTCATTATTTTCAGCATTTTATCTTTTTTTCCTTACTTTATGAAATTTCCTATTTTTCATTTAAACAGGTATCAAACTCCACCACATTAAGCTGGTCCACAAGACTGAAAGCATTCGCCGTTTGTTTTGTGTTGGGGATAACCCTCTCCATTTTGGCAAGTATTAATTACATGTATTACATTAGTTTTGTATAAAAAAAATTTTAATTTGTTTTTTAGCTCACCTGAGCCGAAGGCTCAAGTGAGCTTTTCTGATCACATTTTGTCCGTCGTCCGTCCGTCTGTCTGTCCGTCTGTAAACTTTTCACATTTTCGACTTCTTCTCAAGAACCACTCGGCCAATTTTGACCAAACTTGGTACAAAGCATTCTTGGGTGAAGGGGAATCTAAATTGTTAAAATGAAGGGACATATCCCCTCGCAAGGGGAGATAATCAAGAAAAGACAAAAATAGGGTTGGGTCATTAAAAAATCTTCTTCTCAAGAACCACTGGGCCAGTAAAGCTGAAATTTATGTGGAAGCATCCTGGGGTAGTGTAGATTTTAAATTGTTCAAATCATGACCCCCGGGGGAAGGGCGGGGCCACAATGGGGAATCAAAGTTTTACATAGAAATATATAGGAAAAATCTTTGAAAATCTTCTTCTCAAGAACCACTGAACCAGAAAAGCTGAAACTTATGTGGAAGCATCCTGGTATAATGTAGATTCTAAATTGTTCAAATCATGACCCCCCGGGGAAGGGCGGGGCCACAATGGGGAATCAAAGTTTTACATAAAAATATATAGGAAAAATCTTTGAAAATCTTCTTCTCAAGAACTACTGGGCCAGAAAAGCTGAAACTTATGTGGAAGCATCCTGGTATAGTGTAGATTCTAAATTGTTCAAATCATGACCCCCGGGGGAAGGGCGGGGCCACAATGGGGTATCAAAGTTTTACATAGAAAGATATAGGAAAAATCTTTGAAAATCTTCTTCTCAAGAACCACTGGGCCAGAAAAGCTGAAACTTATGTGGAAGCATCCTGGTATAGTGTAGATTCTAAATTGTTCAAATCAAGACCCCCAGGGGAAGGGCGGGGCCACAATGGGGTATCAAAGTTTTACATAGAAAGATATAGGAAAAATCTTTGAAAATCTTCTTCTCAAGAACCACTGGGCCAGAAAAGCTGAAACTTATGTGGAAGCATCCTGGTATAGTGTGGATTCTAAATTGTTCAAATAATGACCCCCGGGGGAAGGGCGGGGCCACAATGGGGAATCAAAGTTTTATATAGAAATATATAGGAAAAATCTTTGTAAATCTTCTTCTCAAGAACCACTGGGCCAGAAAAAGTGAAGCTTATGTGGAAGCAGTCTTGGATAGTGTAAATTCTAAATTGTAGGAATCATGATCCCCGGAGGAAGGGTGGGGCCATTATAGGGAATCAAAGATTTACATAGAAATATATAGGAAAAATCTTTGAAAATCTTCTTCTCAGGAACCACTGGGCCAGAAAAGCTGAAACATTTGTGCCCATGGAAAGTTCATGGGGTAGTGTAGTTTTCAAAATGTCTAAATTATGATCAGTGGGGTAGGGTGGGGATAACAAGGGGGAAATCTGGTAAAGAACAGAATGGTCAAAGCCCATGGGCCTCTTGTTTGATATTTTACAAGTATTGACTAGGGTTGAGGGCAGCATTAATTAAGTTAAAGCCCCAAGGGACAGAAATATTGCACAACATGGAGTGGAGGAAAATATTTTCATTCTGAGGGGGCTTACATAATCAATGTTGCACCATAACACAAGCAATAATATTGTGTTGTTATATGAAATACAAAACAAATCAATATCAAAATATTATTTTGATTTCATTCACTTAGATTTAACCACTTATTTCAACGCGGGTATGTTAAGGAAGCATATAAATCATTTCTTGGGAAATTTAGACTTTTTAAAGAAAATTAAGTTTGATAATTTACCAAAACCACTGGCAAACGTAAACTTTTATTAACTATTGCATAAAGATAAAAGAGCGTCTAATGCAATGAGGTGCGCCACCACCACTGCATCACGTGACTTCTATTAATAGCGAAATGTTCCTTCATAAAAAAGCTAACAGAACAACAATATCTATTTTGCTTAAAAAGTGCTGCTAGAATCCCATTGTCCTGTCAGTAAAATAATTATAACACACATTAGAACGAAACCTTGCCCTACGTTTTGTATTTTACACATATGCGCTGAGAATTTTCGTAAAACCATGCTTAACTCGGGATTCTAGCAGCACTTTCCAAGTATTTTAGAAGGCGAGCTTTCCATCTGTACAAATCTTATGTTTTGAAATATTCAGCTTATTGTTGTTCTATGGCATTATTTTTGTCACGAATGACTGAGGAAAGGCCGACTGGGATACGGATATAGCTGACTATCTTCGAAAGAGAATATAATTGATAAAAATAAATTACCATACCTGTTTATTTAACTGAACTCCATATGAATTTCACATAATATTCCCGACATTTGCTTTTAAACTCCATTTTACGTATCTTTGTACATGCCGTCTTAGCCAAATTCTCTTTACACGACATGATCCATTCCCAAATTACTCGATGTACACATATGACGTCATCATTGTTAGATTTTAATCAAATTGACAGATACAGCATAACGAAATAAAAACATCTTATTTTTGTTAATCTTTACACGTTTTACTTTATTTCCTAGAGTTAAATTACATCTCTAAATACCAATATTACGAAAAACTTTTGTTCTAAGATTGACGTCATCTCGCCTACTATGACGTCATAATGTTTCACTGACTTAGTCAAGGTAGAATGTTCTGTATGCTTCCTTATCACCCCTGCGAAGTACTTTGTATAACTTGCATTATTTGCACGTTGATAGTAGTGTTAGCGTTCAATGATGAATATGAATCTTTAAGTTGCCATGATTGCCTTACTTGGTGTTTCTGTTGTTATGTAGGTAAATAAATTTTATGAGATCATTAAAACGAGAGTCAGTAAACTGAGTTTTTAGCTCACCTGAGCTGAAGGCTCAAGTGAGCTTTTCTGATCACATTTTGTGCGGTGTCCGTCTGTCCGTCCGTCTGTCAGTAAACTTTTCACATTTTTGACTTCTTCTCAAGAACCAATGGACCAAATTTAACCAAACTTGGTACAAAGCATTCTTAGGTGAGGGGGAGTTTAAATTATTAAAATGAAGGGCCAGATCCCCTTCCAAAGGGAGATAATCAAGAAAAGACAAAAATAGGGTGGGGTCATTAAAAAATCTTCTTCTCAAGAACCACTGGGCCAGGAAAGTTGAAACTTATGTGGAAGCATCTTTGGGTAGTGTACATATTAAATTGTCAAAATCATGACCCCCCGGGGTAGGGCGGGGCCACAATAGGGAATGCAAGTTTTACATAGAAATATATAGAACAAATCTTCTCAAGAACCACTGGGCCAGGAAAGCTGAAACTTATGTGGAAGCATCCTTGGGTAGTGTAGATATTAAATTGATAATATCATGACCCCCGGGGTTGGGCATCGCTGCAATAGGGAATGCAAGTTTTACATAGAAATGTATAGAACAAATCTTTAAAAATCTTCTTCTCAAGAACCACTGGGCCAGGAAAGCTGAACCTTGTGTGGAAGCATCCTTGGGTACTGTAGATTCTAAAATCATTTGGGGGGGGGGGGGGGGGGGGTAGGGTGGGCACGATAGGTATAGCAAAAGGGGAAATCTGCTAAAGAACTGCATCACCCAAGTTACTCAGGTGAGCGATGTGGCCCATGGGCCTCTTGTACTAGATTAACTTTGATAAGTTTAAAATGCTGTATGTATAAATTAGTTCCAAGTATGTTCTTTATATACACAGGGAAGCGTCCTTCTATGGTTTAAGAACGGACTTGTTCTGTTTGCTGTTTTCTACACATTTGGAAATATTTTGTCACTAGCAAGGTAAATATTTCGTGGAGTACACTATTTTTCATCCCCTTTGGCCCTACTTCCAGGTGGGTGAATTAAAAATGGGGATATTCTCTATCATAACATGTTGTTTATGTTTTATTTTCTGATTCAATGTTAAGAATTATCAAAGTTTTATTATTTGCTGTCTGTATATTTCAGTACATGTTTCTTAATGGGACCATTTAAACAACTGAAGAAAATGTTTGCAAAGACAAGAGTAATAGCAACAATTTTAGTCCTGGTAGGTTTTTGACTTTAACCATTCTGATAGTTACTTGACTTCATATTTATTTCTTTCAAAAATAAAAGTATGTCTCGTATTAATGTTCTTGTATATTAGAAGAATAAATCAGACAAAGCTTTTAATATTCACCTTAGACTTCTTGACATCATTTGATAAAACTATAAATCAAGTTAATTAATTTAAGTTAATTGTCATACTGACAATATCATTTTTTTTTTTGCCATTTAGGTGATGTTTGTCCTGACTTTAGTCTGTGCTTTTGCAGTAAGTGTATTCTCAGTCTTGAATATAAAAGAGGAAAAAAACAGTTTGGTTTGCAAATAACAAAAACAGTTAGTTCACTTTTGGTAACTAGTTATTTTAATGTAGAAAGAAAGGGGTAACAATTTGTCCTTGACCTTTCAGCTGAAGAACCCTGCCCTTACGTTGGTGTGTTGTGTTCTACAATTCCTAGCCCTAACCTGGTATTCTCTGTCATATATTCCATTTGCAAGGTGAGTTATCTTTCCTGTTATATACATGTACCGGTAATCTCTTCCCAGGTGAGTCAATGAGAAAAGATCAGATTATTTACTATTTTACTCTGGCAATCAGTCTGGTTCGACTGAGATAGCTCAGTCGATAGAGCACCTGACCGGGTCCGAATCCCAGTCTGGTCCACTGCATTTTTCCCCTCTCCAGTTACATGACTATGACAATGTTCTGATTTAAAACTATTGCACTACACCTGATGTACTACTATTGTTCTATACTGATTATTATTATTATCCTTCAGAATTATACAGTCAATCTGATTGGTTTAGAGCATGTCACGTGAGGTGAGACAATTCGTGATGTCTCCCTCACACGCAGGGTGACAACAGTTGTCACCTTTCAGATGACAATGAAATAACGCAAGTGAGCATGCAGGGTTACAACTGTGTTGTTGCCCCTTGAATAAAAATGCAGTGGATTAAGCGAGATAACTCTTATTTTTTATAATACAGTCATGTACAATTGCTAAATATGCAGGATCGGGAAGCAGTAAATTCTAACGATGACGTCAAAGTTGTCTGTTTGACAAGTATAGAATCAGAGCAGAGTAGGAAAATACAAGAAATTTGATTACTATTTTTTACTAATACTGATGATTTAGATTCTTCAGGATAATAATACTATTATGGACTATTTAGAAGGGAGACATCACCAGTTATCAGGCCTGAGTAGGGTTGTCACCCTCGGGTGCCTGTGTCCTCGGGTGACAACCCTACACAGACCTGATAATTGTTGATGTCTCCCTTCTAAACAGTCCGTAATTGTATACTATACTATAGTTAGGAAGGAAAATCATGAGCAATGCTTTATATATTTAATGAACATTTTATTTTCTATTTTTAGGGATGCAGCCAAAAAATGTTTTGCATCTTGTTTAGAATGATATCCTATCAACATTCATGAGGCTTGAACTCCTTGTTTGACTATCTACATACTGATGATATTTATTGTTTATTTCTCATCCTATCCATTTGACCAAGTGCTATAAAGAGAAAGTACTTGTATTTTCATGTATATTTTTGTGAATTGTTTACAGTTATGCTATTTTTAGAGGAATCGATGTAATTTTTGGAGACATATTTGTAGGTGTTAGTTTTAGTAAGGGATGAGTACAGAAAGTGAAGTTTCATAATAAAGCCATTAAGATCATTTTAACGCTCTCAGACTCGAAAAGTATGGCAGCCATTGACGTTATGAAGAATGGACTGTAAAGATGAGGTATTTGTATTTTTTAGTTATTGATCAATGTCATATGTTCATCCATTCATAAAGAATTTTGAAGTAAACAAGTGCTAAAGTGTGTGTGATTTTACAGCAGTTTTCATTCACATTTCGAGGCCTTCCTGTGCCCCCACTTGTTTAGGTGCTAATGTTCATTTATTTTACAATCAAAATGATGTTGTTTGAATTTTTAGTATAAATATAACATCCAACATACCGGGTACATATTTTAAAATGTATTTTTGTGTACAAAGAATTTAGCACTAGGAAGACAGGCTATTTTTTGCAGTAGGTGTACGTACATTTGTAGTAAAAACATTTAATTTTATTGACAATATTGATGCAATGCTGTAAAAAGAGACAGCTTTAATACATCCAGTGTATATGATCAATGAACAAACTCGCTGTTTAGATAACACTGAGATTACTTTCAAGCAAATTGTTGTTTTCCCCCAACCATCCATTACATGTGACTCAATGTAATTGTGAAGCTGTCCATAAATTTGTTGTCTGTAAAATAATTTACCACACAGTGCCTGCTCAGTTTTGAGGGTATAACAGATTGAAATTCATTTGTATGTATTTTTATCCAATTCTTGAAGAAAGTATGGTAATGGAAATTAAAAATGGTCCATTTTACTTTGCAGTTTCATTTGTGGTGTATTTATTTTTGTTAAGATTCTGCCATAAACTGTCCATGATTTATGTTTGATTCACTGCTCATCATAATAAAGAATCAATCATTTTACAAATTGTTCTTGAATGTATTTTTGGGGTCATGATTGAAAATGACAAGAAGTCTGTAAGCCAATCCTTACTCTCAATACCCCTGCTCTGATGTGAATATGACTTCTGATGTGAATATACAACAAGAGGCCCATTGATCACATCGCTCACCTGAGAAGCTTTGACCATTCCGTACTTTACCAGATTTCCCCCTTGTAATACATATTGTGACCCCACCCTACCCCACTGATCATAATTTAGACAATTTGAAATCTACACTACCATAGGATGCTTTGATTCCCCATTGTAAAACTTTGATTCCCCATTGTGGTCCCGCCCAACCTCCGGGTCATGATTTGAACAATTTAGAATCTACACTACCCCAGGATGCTTCCACATAAGTTTCAGCTTTTCTGGCCCAGTGGTTCTTGAGAAGATTTTTAAAGATTTTTCCTATACATTTCAATGTAAAACATTGATTCCCCATTGTGGCCCCACCCAACCCCTGGGGGTCATGATTTGAACAATTTAGAATCTACACTACCCCAGGATGCTTCCACATAAGTTTCAGCTTTTCTGGCCCAGTGGTTCTTGAGAAGAAGATTTTTCCTATATATTTCTATGTAAAACATTGATTCCCCATTGTGTCCCCGCCCAACCCCCGGGGTCATGATTTGAACAATTTAGAATCTACACTACCCCAGGATGCTTCCACATAAGTTTCAGCTTTTCTGGCCCAGTGGTTCTTGAGAAGATTTTTAAAGATTTTTCCTATACATTTCAATGTAAAACATTGATTCCCCATTGTGGCCCCACCCAACCCCTGGGGGTCATGATTTGAACAATTTAGAATCTACACTACCCCAGGATGCTTCCACATAAGTTTCAGCTTTTCTGGCCCAGTGGTTCTTGAGAAGAAGATTTTTCCTATATATTTCTATGTAAAACATTGATTCCCCATTGTGTCCCCGCCCAACCCCCGGGGTCATGATTTGAACAATTTAGAATCTACACTACCCCAGGATGCTTCCACATAAGTTTCAGCTTTTCTGGCCCAGTGGTTCTTGAGAAGAAGATTTTTTAATGACCCCAACCTATTTTTGTCTTTTCTTGATTATCTTCCCTTGCGAGGAGACTTGGCCCTTCATTTTAACAATTTTAATTCCCCTTTACCCAAGGATGCTTTGTAACAAGTTTGGTCAAAATTGGCCCAGTGGTTCTTGAGAAGAAGTCGAAAATGTGAAAAGTTTACAGACGGACAGCTAGACAGACGGACGGACGACGGACAAAATGTGATTAGAAAATCTCACTTGAGCCTTCGGCTCAGGTGAGCTAAAAATTCATTTACAGATAGCAACATGATTAATAGGAAGTTAACATCAGATTCTCAGAGCAGATGCTGAGAAAACCGCGACAAAAATTGTTATATATGGTACAGATAGATGCACAGATAAACAGGAAGTTGACATCCAATTCAACAAAAAAGAAACCCCACCAAATGGATGTCTCAACAAAAATTGTGCTAAAAATTTATGCATCTGCAATGAGCAGCTGCTGAGAATATTGCTGCACAAATTTGGTATGGAGACACAAACAGACAAGGGTAAAACAGTATAGCCCCCTCTCCTTTGGAGCAAGGATATATTGATATAAAGCAATGTATATACTAGTACCATGTACATTTAAAGGGGCCTGGACACAGTTTCAGCTGATTTTTTAAAACCAATTTTAATGTTTACAATTCCTACCTAAGGCATCATCTATTGATTAGCAAAAATTTGAAACCATTCGTTGATTAACAAATAAGACACAGTACTTAAAGTTCTTCATAATGTAAACAAGGCTCGTGCCTTGTCTTTGTTTACATATAGAAAATATTATATTTATAACAAAATGAAGTTCAGCAAATCAATAGTAACTGTCGAATCATATCTAAAATTAACTTTTATCTGAAATTATCTACTTTGAACGAACATATATTAGTATATTAACCTGTGTAAACAAAAACATGACACTAGCCTTGTTTACATAACAAAGGTTTGGAGCTCTAAATATGTCTTGTATCTGGACAACTGGCGTTCAATTTTTTGATGATCATTAGAAAGACCCTAGTTAAATATTTGTAAAAATGGAAAAATAATTTTTGAAATTTTAGCTGAAACTGTGTCCATGCCCCTTTAACAAGATAGAAAATGAAATTTTGAAGAGAAATGAAAATCATGTCACAGATATAGTATTTCCCTTTTTATTTTGTGATATTTTACAACAGCTATATTGTACGTCCATGTGAATAATTTAACAATGCACCATGCAGAAGGCTTCCAGTCTGTCTGTTTGAGTCGAGTCATTGCAGAGACACAGTTCTCACAAATCATTCTTAAGATGTTAGAATAAGTTGAAACAAGAGGCCCACGGGCCTTATAGGTCACCTGAGCATTACGCAACAATTTTCCAGTTATTGAATTTGATTCATGTTTTAAGCCAGATGCTATATGACATTCACAATTTTAAAAGAGGCACCATTGATCATCATAACAATACACTTAGCAGTTGCTTAGCTTGGTTACTGAATACCCATATGCAGGGTAGGGGAACAAAAATGCATTCCAACTAACCAGTAGTGCCCCTAACACTGTGACATAAACCTTTGACCCTAGGTCCACACATTGCACAAATTTCAAAAAGGCACCCTTAATATCAAAAAATAAATAAATGTTTTATAAATACAAAAGAGCAGATTTCAAACAATAAATCCATTTTCAGTATATAAGTAGAGCCCCCACCCCACCCCTGACCCTGGGGCTTTGAAATTCACAATTCTGCAAGATTAGGGCCCTTTCTCATCATAACTATAAAGGTAGTTCATCTGCTTTATACCCAGAGACAAAGAAAAATTTTTTCAAAGATTTAATGTATTTTCATTATATAATCAATTGAGCCCCACCCCCCTAACACCAGAACCCCTGACCCTGGGGCCATAAAATTCATAATTTTAAAAGAGGCATTCTTGCTCATCATAACTCATATGTACTTAGTTTATTTAATTCCTAGGAGCAGAGAAGAAGATTTTCAAAGAATTCATGTATTTTCAATGTATAATCAATAGAGCCCTGCCCTAACACCAGAACCCCTGACCCTGGGGCCATAAAATTCACAATTTTGGTAAAAACACTCTTGCTCATCATAACTATGCACTTAGTTAGTTTATTTAATACCTAGGAGCAGAGAAGAAGATTTTCAAAGAATTCATGTATTTTTACTATATGTAATCTATAGAGCCCCGCCCTAACACCAGAACCCTTGACCCTGGGGCCATAAAATTCATAATTTTTAGAGGCACTCATGCTCATCATAACTATGCACTTAAGTTAGTATATTTAATACCCAGGGGCAGAGAAGAAGATTTTCAAAGAAATCATGTATTTTCACTATATATAATCAATAGAGCCCCGCCCTAACACCAGAACCCTTGACCCTGGGGCCATAAAATTCACAATTTTGGTAGAGGCACTCATGCTCATCATAACTATGCACTTAGTTAGTATATTTAATACCCAGGGGCAGAGAAGAAGATTTTCAAAGAAATCATGTATTTTCACTATATATAATCAATAGAGCCCCGCCCTAACACCAGAACCCCTGAACCTGGGGCCATAAAATTCACAATTTTGGTAGAGGCACTCTTGCTCATCATAACTATGTACTTAGTTGGTTTATTTAATACGCAAGAGTAGAGAAGAAGATTTCCAAAGAAATAATGCATTTTCACTATATACTTATTTAGCCCCGCCCTAGCACTAGAACCCCTGACCCCAGGGCCATGAATTTCACAATTTTGGTAAAGGACTCAATGCTGATTACAATCATGCAAACAGTTTGACTGCTTGATGTCCAGGAGTAAAGAAGAAGATTTTTAAAGATTGCATTAATTTTAGTGGTTTTGGCCCCACCCCTCGGGCCCCAGGGGGGCAGGGATCATGAAATTCACAATTTTTGTTCCCCTTCACCCATAGATGCTTTGTGCCAAATTTGGTTGAAATTGGTTCAGTGGTTGCAGAGAAGAAGCTGAAAATGTTCAAATGTTAACACACGACGGACGACGAACGACGGACGACGGACGACGAACGACGGACGACGACGGACGAAAACGGATAGCAATAGGTCACCTGAGTTTACTCAGGTGACCTAAAAAAGAGTTCCATTTCAATCGTCCTGTCCAATAGGATTAACTTTAATTCCTTGACGAATCTGCCCCCAGCCAATCAATCTGTAAGAATTGATATAATATATCAGGTATACTGTAAAGTCACAACGACGGCAAATTAATGTGCTGTTTATTGGCAACTGAAATATATGAATAGAGAAAATAGGTTCCTTTCTTTGTTACTTTATTAGAAAATTATGTGGGGGCGAATAGGGCTCAACTGGCCTTTGACCCTTTCTGGTACAGAGCCCTGCATACTCACAATTAAGAATCTAAAATTGAGAAAAGGGCAATATTGACAGTAAATCAAAAGTTGTCATCAATACTGCCCCATCTAAGCAGGCTTGGGGTCAATTACTTTGAAATGTAATTAATTACTTTCAAATACATTGATTATTTTGTCGATTACTTGCAATTACAATTACATTGATTTTTTCAAATGTAATTAATTACTTTCAATTACTTTGACAAATGTAATCAAATACATTTCAATTACTTCGTTTTATTTTTTAAAAAAAAAAAAAATAAAGATTTTTTTTTAAAGTAAGATTTTTTCTATAGCAATCAAATTCGAACTTTCATTCAGTGTTTTTGTTCTTGGGTATGATAGGGGTTCACACCTGGTCAAAATTAGACCTTTACCTTATAATGAGTGTGACACACTGTATCAACAAATTAAACATGAGACAATTAATTATTGTACAAACACAAGCCTAATTGCTGTAAAACAAATTGACTATCAAACAACCATTGTTATTTGCAAGTGGGAATAGGGAGATCTGAGATTTATAAAATGTGGGAATAAGAAGTAGAAACCCACCAGTATAAAACTATGTATCAGTATAAGACACCTTTTTAAATATAAACTTTCATTTTGAAAAAAAGTAATGAAAATGTAATTGAAAAGTAATTGAAAATACATGACCATTTTTGAAATGTATTTAAATACATCCAATTACTTGTAATTGAAGGCTCGCTCAAATACAAATTACTTCCAATTACTTTGAAAAATGTAATTAATTACACTCAATTACAATTACTTTATTCAATTACCCCATCCCTGACTGAAAGGGTATAAGACTTTGTCTAAAACTGCTTTAACTGAATCAGTCATCTTCCACACAAATAACCATAGACATCGTATCATTACAAACCTCCAATGCTTCTCCACACGTCTGCTGAGTGCGATTTTCTCTCCGATCTCCGTACACACAGGGTTAGTTAATCCAACCTTGGCCAAATCAGCCTTCACTGCGATGACACGCCCCCCAGTAGACAGGGAACCAATGTTCACCATCAACACCTCATTCTTTGACAGCTTTTGTACCTGAAAAATAAAACAACATATTTTTGAAAAGAAAGCTCTGTAAATGCACAATATCAGCAAAGCACAAAATTAGACATGTTAGATATTTCTGTTAACTTCTTAGATGACCTAGCATTCTCAAGATGTAACTTATTTTTTCATATATGATATCAGCTGTCAACAATCATTTGGCAATGAAAAATTTCTTACAATTTAGTTTTAAATTTGATCTTTTTTGTACATCTTTATATGGAGCTCTTCTTCTAAATCAATATAGTCTGAAAATGGCCATAACCACCCATCTTAACACACTGTCTTTTGTGTAAATTTCATGGCCATAATTGACCATGACATCAAAGTAAAATTTAATGCTCAGAGCTGACAGAAGATCAATATAGAGTCATACTGACCTTTGCTCCCTTCTTGTCCCCCTCAGTTTTGACCCCCAGGAGTCGCCTCAGTAAGAAGAAGGAGATGGTTATTTCTGTGTAGATGTCAGGGAGGGCATTCACGGCTCCCAGGACCTGACCCACCATTCTGTCCGCCCTACATAACATCGGGTCAATCTTAGTACCAACACCTGTAAAAAGAAGATTAGTATTTAAGATATGTCATTGTATTGAAATATGTAAAACGTTCAGTGTTTTGCCACTGATTTCAATATAAAAAGTGTTGAGATCATTCTCTTTTTTCAAAAGTTCAAATCTTATTCATTGATGATACTGTCCTACTGCACATTAAACAAGGTATCTATGAGAGCACTAGGACAATATACTTTTGGATATTTTTTTACTTTTCTTGCAAAAGGACAAAACTCTGTGACTGGTTCCAACAATAAAGATCTCCTAAAATGAGTTTTTAAGAACAGTATAAGAATCTGGACTGACCAATAAGACCCCCTGGCACTGCGTATTGTAGATCATTCTGTTCTGCTAGTAGGGAGAGGATCCGAGATCTGATGGGCTTACACGCCCACTTCCCGTCCTGATCCTTAGCCACGATGCCCGGCCTCACTTCTATCTCTTGTCCAACCTGTAATTCAACAGCAGCTTTATATACCATTTCTGCATGTTTTTTTTCCTTTTCTTCTCTCTTCTTTGGTGTCAAACTGAATTTGTCAGTTTTTGTCAGCAAAAATAAACTTACTTTCCAGAATGAAAAAATTCATTGAATATTTGTTGTAGCCATTTTTTTTTTATGATGTTTTAAAGATACTTTGTGGAGACTTACTTTTAGAACACCCTTTAGAATACTTCCTCCTGCCACGCCCCCTTTTAGGTCATCAACCTCACTTCCTGGTTTGTTGACATCAAAAGATCTAATTACTGAAAAAAAAACCAAAATCTGTGTTAGTAATTGACAAACAGTGCTTCCCAAGAAATACACAAAGTTATAAAGATGGTCATGTGACAAAAGTTACAATGAAAGCAATAAGTACTCATGCATAACTTTTAATGGAAAACTGGCAGAAAATTCCCAAATTAACATCGAGTAAAAGTGCTTTTGGAAAAAATCTGTGTCTACTCCTCATTACATTGTATATATTGTAGCTAAACTCACCAATAAGTCTGGGTTCTGATGTGAAATCCCTGAGAGGCACTGGGATCTTTTTAATGATGTATTCACAAATGACATCTATGTTGTACTTAAGCTGGGCTGAGATTGGGATGATAGGGGCACCTTCAGCAATCGTTCCTAAACAGACAAATTAAGTGTCTTAATCTCCTTAAAAATAGAAAATTTATCAAAATGAAAAATTTACAAAGCTCATTCAGAATTGGTCACAAACTACCCACACCTGAAATCACAAAACATTTCCTGTATAATGAAAGATAATTCTGTCTTCATAATGACAATTAGCAACATTGGAATTTGGACAGGACATAGCAAAACATGTTCTTCATAACTCTTAATTTGCTTTTTTTCCAGACAGAATTGATTTTAGGACATCTTCCATTAGGCAGTCTTGAGTATTGACATTAAACCGACCTTTGACAAAAGCGAGGATCTGTTTGTAGTATCAACATTAAACCGACCTTTGACAAATGCGAGGATCTGTTCATATTATCAACATTGACATTAAACCGACCTTTGACAAAAGCAGGATCTGTTCATATTATCAACATTGACATTAAACTGACCTTTGACAAAAGCAGGATCTGTTCATATTATCAACACTGACATTAAACCGACCTTTGACAAAAGCAGGATCTGTTCATATTATCAACATTGACATTAAACAGACCTTTGACAAAAGCAGGATCTGTTCATATTATCAACATTGACATTAAACCGACCTTTGACAAAAGCAGGATCTGTTCATATTATCAACATTGACATTAAACTGACCTTTGACAAATGCGAGGATCTGTTCGTAGTATAGACATTAAACTGACCTTTGACAAATGCGAGGATCTGTTCATACTGCTCCTTGGCCTGGCTTTCCTTGACCAGGTCGATCTTGTTCTGTAGGATCAGGATGTGTTTCAGCTTCATAATCTCCACGGCAGCCAGGTGTTCAGAGGTCTGGGGCTGAGGACAAGATTCATTGCCAGCTAAAGACAGAATCAACATTTCAGTGACCTATATAAACCTAGCAAAGCAATGATGCAGCATTTTGTCACTAAATACTGAATTTTTGTACTACCATTGAAAAAGAAATATCTGACATTGTGCTTTAAATATGACAAGTACTATTATTTTCTGTGTCTCAACAATATATATATATATATAGAACTCTATTTCTTCCTTAACAATATATCACCTATTAATAGTAACACCATTACCCCCCTAAAGTACCTCACCTATTAATAGTATCACCATTACCCCCCTAAAGTATCTCACCTATTAATAGTAATGCTGCATCCATCACAGCTGCTCCGTTTAACATGGTAGCCATAAGAATGTCGTGTCCAGGACAGTCCACAAATGATACATGTCTACAACAAAAATACGGCATTTGTAAGGACAATCCTCAAACGATATGTCTACAACAAAAATACAGCAAATATAAGAGAGAAACAGTTAACTGTTTAATCTTGCAAGTATTGAATATAAGGTAATAATTTTTTGGTAAAGACAGTTTCATTCAACAATAAAGAAACAAGATATGTTTGTAAAACACATGCCCCCCTCCCCAAATAATTAGAAATTTTGCTAAGTCCAAGAGGCATAATTCTGTCCAAAATGGCTTGTTCGTACACAAGACATAACTTCATCTAGATATTCTTATGATAAATCTGTATAGGCTATCTAAATTTAATTCCCTGGTTCTCAGGCCAATTTTCTCCAAAACAGATGCGGGAGGGCGGCATTTTATTTTTCATTTTATTGGCAATAAAGTAGATGAGGGAGGTATTTTTTTTATTTTAATTTCCGAATTTTCTTTAAAATAAAGATAATTTTTTTAATCACAGATACACTTTCCATTTCTGGTCAAAATTTCTGCTTTATCCATTGCTTAACAGCGTGTAAACATCGTAGGTAATGTCCTTGAATGTATTTTCAAACGAAGTAGCCAAAATCTCATTGTAAATTGCTACCGGAAGTGATATTTGAATACTAAACTACGAAACAAATGAGGTCGGAATTTTTTTTCCCGGATTGGTCTCCGCATTACTAACTTTTTATTTTATCAAAAATACAATAAAATCGGCAATGCGGCTACCTCAAAACGGATGCGCGCGGGCCTGAGAACCAAGATTTCAATTTTATTTGGCCATACCGAATTTCGTTTCAATATGTGCAACCTCTGCAAAGAAAATAAAGGGAACTTGAAAATAATTGGATTTTTTCTACTTCCAAGGGGCATAACTCTGTCCAAAATGGCTCGATCATACTTCAATCAGAATGTGACCTAGATATTCTTATGATAAATCTGTATAGCAGAATTCATCTCAATATGTGCAACCTCTGCTAAGGAAATGAACAGAAACTGGTGGTGGACCTATAGACAGACTGACCGTCCGACAGACAGCAGCAAAGCAATATGCCCTCCCTTCTTTGAAGGGGGAAATAATAATAAGAAATTTTCAGCGTTATAAGACAATGGGTGTTATCAGACAATTCTCCCACCTCTGGACCTGGAATCTTCCTGTACATCCTGCTCTGTCACACGGGAAATTGTCCTCTTTAGAGCTTCCACAGGATCTATAGCAGCCGGGACGGGGGCAGGCATCGTTATTACATTTATATATCTGTCAAACACACAAAAGAGTAATCGTTATTACATTTATATATCTGTCAATCAAACAAAAAGTCACTCACACACACTGTATAATACACAATTACTAACAATGGGGACAGGCATCATTATTACATTAATTTATCTGTCAAACAGACAAAAATGTCACATTACACACAGTACTACTGTTAGTATTACTATTGCCTGAGACAGGCATAATTGTTAAATTCATATAATCTGTCAAGAGAACAAAGTCATGGTCAGTTAAAATTTACACATACTACTTCTCCACAATACATACACACATAAATATTACAGGCCAAGATAGGCATTATTGTGCTTTAGGGATGGCAATTTGTAACCGGTTAATTGATTAATCGGTTGGAACTATGCTAATTGGTTTGAAAATTCGTAATCGGTTAGTCGGAAAAAATAAAATATATGTCAATTTGAGCGCGGTTTCCTTAAAATCCCTTCTGATTTTTTTTTTAGAAAGGAAAGCGCTGCATAGATTTTTATTTAGTGCTTTTACACATCTTATAATTAAGAATATTTGGAGGTAATTAGCTCTCAAGATTGAGATCGCGGGGGTGATTGGTCAATTCGTAAAGTGTTAATTACTGTTTTTATAACATAATGCTGTTACCCAGATACATGTGGTCCTGTGGGTTTTTTAATGATATTAAAAAAACATCATCGTTAAGCCCTTTTAATTATTAGTGTGTCTATATTTTGCCGTTATCTATCGAATTATATTATAACGTTGTAAACTGTAAATAAAGTGAGAGTTCAGAAATAGACTAGTTCTGATTATGGTGACAACGCAGAATTAACTTTTTTAACATCTGCGTTGGAAAATTATTCCTGTCTGATTTCGCAAGCAAGATTCCTGGTTTTCTCAATTTTTTCTTGTCTATTGAAATTGTACATAAAATTCTCCGATCAAAATAGTAAACAGAATGTAACTTCTAAGTCTTTTTAGCCTTTTTGTGTGTATGAAAAGAAAATGTCAAAATGGATATCTTGATATGACTAACCGGTTAATCAGTCGGAACATTTTGCGGTTAATCGATTAGCAATTCTGCAATCGATTGCCATCCCTATTGTGTTTACCTTTGCATTGGCATATCCTAATTTGATGGTGATGTTTCTAACAAGTTCGTTCTTAAATCTGACAGTCTGAAAATGTAAGCGTACATAAAGATAATCAGTGAACAAGTCTGAAGTCACACAGAGCTAATTTGTATGTAAGTTATGGGGAACCCACCTGAACCCCTGAGATAGCTTTGACCACTGTAGATTTTCCATGAGCTACATGGCCAATTGTACCTACAAAAAATTAATTATAAAGTTTAATCTTAATGTTAATCCTTTTATACAAGAAAACAGAAAGAAGTGAAATATAAGCCTAACATACCAATGTTGATAGTTGCCTGTCTGCTAATGACTTCTGGGGTGAGGGGGGTCAATCTGTCTATATTCTGAAATTAATATTTATAAATAAAATTAATTATTTTGAGATATTTAACAAGTTCTTGTAACTTTAAAATGACAGACTTACACATTAAAATGTACCTGACTTATTCATAACAAGGAATTTACATAATGTTATGGTGACAGCGCCATTAACTGTTACTATTATACATATCCTGATTTTTCCCTACAAGAAGACTGTTAAACTGATGTGAATAATTCCCTACAATTCCCAGTCAACAGACCAATATCCATTTTGTTGTGCATTATTTAAGTAATCTTGTCCCTGTTTCAAAATTTTATTGGTTTAATAAGAACACCTTTATTATATCATTGAGGGATTAGCAGTAAGGTTCCCAATCCCTCTGACTGACTTGGGAAATAGTCCTGTCCTTAGTGAGCTGGAATCTTTCCAACTCCTCAATTAAGGAATGTTTTTAAAGTCTTGTGTGAGTTATTGGTGTGTAAATCACATAGACTTGTGACATACTGATAGGCATATTTCATGAAGTGCACTAGCCCTTCATGAAAAATATACCTACGTGCAAGTCTGTGATTTACACACCAATAATTCACGCTAAACTTAAAAACATTCCTTATACAGTTAATTCTCGATAAACCGCCACCTTTTGTAATTTAGAAATCATGGCGGTATAACGAATTTGGCGATGAATTGAATTTTCCATCTTTTAGGGAATAAGATAGAGTTATCGTTCTTAGATACACCATTTAGCGTTTCTATTCCTATTATTACATGTACATGTATATATAAACATGTTTCTAAATTTGAAATTACTTTAAGTAATTTTTTTATGTACAATTTTGCTAAAACAAAATATTCAGTTATGAAATAAAGACAAGTACATGTGTATGCATTTAAATCTGCACGTCTAATTTTGAAAAAAAATGATGCTGGGTCGATCGTCGCGATATACTGCCTATAGTATGTGAAATGAATTCTTGAATAAATTCATTGTTTACATCATTGTTAATGAAACGTTCACAATTTCTGACATAATTATTTTTTAAGCAAACTTTGAATTGTTTTTAAAAGCAGAGATCATCAAAATAATATCGTTATTGGCGTACTTTACAACGACCGCTTTCGTGGCGAAGCCTTGACTAAATGATTTTATTAAACAGAATACAAAATTATTCTAACAGTTCATGTTAAAATTATTGTTTACTTAATTGCATGTACCTTGACTGGCTTTGCATGCTTTACAACAGGGATAGCGTCTACCAATTAGCCGCGCTTCACTGACCACATGCACCTGTGGCGGTATTATCGAGATAATTGACACTTAAAAATGGACGTTTGTTGTGAAAACAGGGTGGCGGATGGCGGTATGCGAATTTGGCGTTATAAAGAGAATTTTATATAGCAGGAAAAACGTTCTTGGGAAATCATGGCGGTATTGCGAAAATGGCGATGAATCGAATGGCGATAATTCGAGAATTGACTGTACTGTATTTACATTTTATATGTTTGGAAGCACCAAAATATACTCAATATTTGAATTTCTCAGCGCAATATATCATTGCATTTTTCTAAAGTCGCTGTAGCCTCATTGTGACGTAATGTTAGCGCAAGTTTCTCCATGTATATTTCTATGCACAAGTATCCATGAAAATGGTATTCAAATTGATTTCACAGTTGGCTTAGTAGAAAAACTTGAATGTAAATATTCTATATTAACTGTATATAACCTACCACTTCTACTTCTCACTTATTGGACATACTGTCAGTTTCTACCTGAAGTCTTTTTCATTAAAATATATTAAATATATTGATGAAAGATTACATAGGTGGTGTTTCATAAGATTTAAAAATAAATCAAGATTATTGCAATAACCCAGAACTTGTTGCATCATACACTAAACTTTAAGTACCAAGAACCAATACACAAGAAAATATATTTACATTCGATGTGTTTTTCTACTAAGCCAACTGTGAAATTGATTTGAATACCATTTTCCTGTATACAAGTGCCTAGAAATATACAGAGAATTTTGCACTAAAGTGACGTCACAAGGAAGCTACGATGAAAAGAAAATATCACTTCACATTTTGACACAGATCTTGCAAGATTTTAAAATGCACGAAATGAAAACAAAACTTGACAGTATGATAAAATATTTTCACCACTGACCAGATAGTATATTTTATAAAATAACAATATAAATAAATGTTGACAAGTACGAAATGCATTGTATCATTGATAAGTTTTGAAGTTACCATTTAATTTGGTGCGTAAGTATCAAAAATCAACCTGAGAATGCCAGCTGTAGGCAGCAGAATTTTCCTGGCACATTAAATAATATAATAATGAAAAAGCCTGGAAAACGTCAGAAATATCGGACAACTGACAACATAAACCTAAGGTATATATTTTTTAAAAGAAATACAATAGCTTTTCAACATAAAAGCTTTTTCATACAAATGAAAAAGGATAGTTAAGTCTGCATGCTTTCAATTTTAAAATCTTTAATCTTTCTAGCTTATCATATTTAGAAACAATAATGATCATCTACTAAATCTTTCTACGAAGATTAACATTTAGGGAAAAAAAATCAGCATAGAGGAAATTCGAGATGACAATAAGCACCGGTTTACATCACTACATATGCCAGAGTAAAACACCTATTTGAGATAAAGAAGAATAGCAATCGGTTAAAACTCTTTGCAGTAGCAAAGATGAATATATACAGCATTACATTTACACACCAGAGTTTTTATATCCTGTTTCGATAAGTGGGGCTGAAGGGATTTTGTCGGTTCCTCTTCTTCTCCTGCCATGCTGTCTGACGCAAGTTGGAGCAACTAAATTTGGGACATACTAAAGACCTGACCTACTAAAGACCTGACTGACCTGACCAACATAAAATTCGTTATAAATAAACATATTAAGGTTAAATATGAAACTATTAAGATAAATTCGTGTTTATATGATGGAATACTATGTATTAGATGCTTTTTGAAACAATTCTGGCGAACAAATAATTTATTATCCATATTTTTCTGAAAATGAATTGACCTGACCAAATATGTAATGACCTGACCAGACCTGACCGATCTTATATTCGGGCAATATGTAAAAGATTAGCTTCTAAAATCATTTTTTTTAAATTTAGCTATACACAAATATGTAATTAATATTACTTATATCAACTTTTAATCATTATATTAATAAAATTGACCTGACCGGCGTAATGACCTGACCGGTGTGACATGACTACTAAAGACCTGACCAAATATTAACATACTAAAGACCTGACCGAAACGAAGATTTATTATTAGAAGACTTGACCGATCTTACTTTAGGTAAAATATATAAAAGATTCTTCATAAATATATATCTTATTTTATTTATACACATATATACGTCCTAAATTGATTTATTTCAACTTTATAAATCAATTGACCTGACCGGCGTAATGACCTGACCGGTGTGACATAAATACTAAAGACCTGACCAAATATTAACATACTAAAGATATTTTCAAATCGCAGTTTAATGATAATATATAATTATAAATAATAAATGTTCTTCAACTTGAAAATGAAATTAATTGGCTAGTCCATTAGAATTACCGGGGTATAATTTTTTCAATTTAATGAAAGTGATAATTATGAAGAACTCTTAGCCATACTTGAGATACAATGAATTACTGTTATAATTGTAAATCAAGTATGTTTCCAGACCCTACGACGTGGACGTGGTTCTTCTCAGGGTCCATATTTATTTATGATTATTGTTTTTAATTCTTTTATTTACTTTTCTCTTTTTCTTTATTTATATTTTACTTATATCTTTTTCTTTAGTTATTATTGACTTATATCATTTTCTTTTTTAGTTTTTTTTTTTTTTTTTTTTTTGTTGTTTTTTTTTTTTTTTGTTTTTGTTTTTTTTTTCTTTCTTTATTTTTTTTATATTATTTTTATTTCTTTATTTTTATTCTGATTATTGTTTTGAATTTGTTTTCTTTTTGTAATTTCTATCTGTTTATTTATTCTGAATTTTATAAACGCACGAACAGACAAAAATCTTCACAGCCGTCATGCGGAGGAGATATATTTACTGTCCGTTTGTTATAATTATTCCTCGTTTATTTCAATTTCTGTGTGGTGTACAGAACCAGTCCTCGCTATCTTCTACTCCAGCACAACTGCGATGCCTCCAGACCGAGCAGCTCTTGTAAGGGGCATCACAACCGATCATCTCCTGCATGAGATTGGGAAGACGGCATTTACAGTCACATGGGACATCCACGTAAGTCACCTTCTTTTTGTTCAGTTTTGCTTTAGTTTCTATGCGCGGGAAAGGACTGAAGGACCCTCTCTCCAAGCAATGTACCAAGTGCTGCCTAACGAATGGTGCATCAAACTTCAAGAGATCATTGCCCTGATAGTAACTATAGCAGAACTGAACTGCATTTGCAATTGCAAAAAGACCACAATCAACGCTGTTAGTTTGTTGTTGAATTTGCGGGATGCGGACTGTCATTTGGTGATACTCGCTGCCGTACATACTAGCTAGCTGTATTTGCAGGGATGGGCTGATTTTTCCGTTGCACAGACTGTCAAGGACATATATTTGCCCATCCAATTTCATGGAGGCTACCCAATGAAATTTCCCGTTGTGGTGAATCTGGACGGCAGGAGACATAACACTTTGGAATCTGATTCCATATTTCCATGTGCTTTCTTCGTCATTCCAAACCGGAGTTCGTTCTGTCTGTTGGAAACCATTAATGTCGCCAAACTGCTGTTTTAAAATTTGTTGAACGGCATTTATTATGTCCGAACAAAGTGGCTGGCCAGTTTCAATCTTCTCTTTGTGGTCCATTGTCAAGTTGCTGACCCATTTTTGGGTCTCTGGTTTGGAAAGCTCACTCTCGACGTTGATGTTGACTTTTCTTTTCTTGGCTGGCAGTTTATTTTCCACTGGTGGTTTTGGCAGGATTTTTCGTTTTTTGACAGGCAACGGGATATGTGGAAGTGATGGAGACTGGTGGAGTGTGACTTCTGGTGATGGAGACTGGTGGAGTGTGACTTCTGGTGATGGTAACTGAGGTGAAACGTCACATGGGGATGTCGGAGACTCTTTGGATACAGCAACTGGTGACTGGAAGCGAAGTTTCTTTTTTGATTTTGGCGTCTTTTGTTGCTGCATCAATGAATCTGGTGCTGGTGTTACATTAACGTCGACATCATTTTTTCTAGGACGTTTTCTGCCTGACTTCTTGTCACTTCGTTTGAGACTTCGTTTGGACAAACTCCGTAAGCTGACCTCGGTGTTATGGTTGTCAACGGGTAGTCCAACAAACATCTTGACTGCTATAATGTGATAACAACGAGACATTGATGGACATTGACAAGCTTCCGGATGAAGGGTTACACAATATTGTTTTTCATTGTGCCCTTTAACAATGTAGGCTTTACACTCTGGCACATGTGTAACCCCGTTGTTGTCCAAAACGAACTTCGCGAGACTTCTGGCTTATATTATTGTCGCGGACTTTCGGTTGGCAATCTTCGTCGTCTGATTCTGATTCGGGCAAGTCTTGAAATTTGAACGAGCATGGTGTTGATTTGGTCATAGACTCCGGAGTTTCGCAAGGACTTTTTAATTCTCTGTTTATTGTTGGGCTGGTGTCCTTGGTTTCCAATGGGACAGACGTTTTTTTGTCATCGCCATGGTCGTCATTTAGTTTTACGAAGTCAGTCTTTTTCTGGACTTTGCTGGGTCGGACAACATCAGATATAACAGATTTGACGTAGCTGATTATATCTGATGGTTCTACAACTTTGTTCGGAATAATCAATTCATCTTTTTCAAGCCTTGCCTCCTTATACTTTGACTTAAGTTTGTAATTTCCTAGACCTGCACGACCTCTCTGGATTTCTAAGAAGTAGAAATTTTGTAGATGGTACAAACTGAGCATCATACAATCTACAGGTAGCTCCTGCCATCCAGTCATCCTCTTTAGAACAGCGTTGATGCTTTCTGAGGGGTTGTTTGTTATTCCAGAGAAAGGGTCATACAGGCCAGGGAATTGCTCTATCAGCCAACGTCCAGAGTACTTTATTAGGTCTTCTTTCATATGTCGGTCAAAGTAAGATTTTACGTTGGCCGACCATTTTAATGTCAAACTCTCATAGCTGGATTGAAAATCGTCTTCTGTCTCACTTTGGGCCATTTGACGCCAGTCTGACAGGTATACGGAGGCTTCTGATTGATCTGCTCCAAGTTTTCTGAGTTCCTCTTTAAAGTCTCGCTTCAGATGATTCCAGCAGTGGAAAACCTGCATCTGTGGAAAATATCTCAGCACTGCCTTAGTTAGTGCTGGCTCTCTGTCAGTGATGAAGGGAATTTTCTTAGACTTTAAAAGAGGAACTCTGTCTGCCAAAAATTCAAATAGTCTGTTATGACACTTCTGAAGTTTTCTGTCATGTATTAAGAAGGCCAGCGGTATCCAAGGTGTACCTTCAAAAAGCACATGCCGGAAAATCAACGGAGAGACGTAAAAATCTCCCAAGTTGAAAGTAGTGTCATACACTAGACTTACTGGGGTACTGGCGTTGCTTTGCAGCAATTCTACAAATGTGTTGATTATGTCCGGGAGAGCAAAGATGGTTATCAAATCTGGAAAGACCGTAATTTCAGAAACAAAGCCTTCGAGGTGGTAAGCGAGCTGTATCATGTTGTATATATCATCTTTACTCAATTTCTGCTTCGATTTTGAAATGGCCTGGTGGTTTTGAACTTGTTTAAGGTTTCTTGGATTTAGAACACCTTGGTACTCCCCAGCAACATTTCCTTTGGTGGACAATTTCCGATAAATGGACATCGGCTTGCCTTGCATATTTTTCAGTTCATTTATAACTGATTTCGTTGACCTGACATACTCTGGTGGGTTATTTTCCTTTGCGTTGCCGTGGGGATTTGGAACGTAGATTTTTTCATCGCCAGCATAGGTGACAAGCATTCGTCCTGGACGCTCATCAATATAATAAGCTGTCCTGGTAAACTTGTTAGAAGTATTTGGTCTTGCTCGTCCTTTGCCAGGCTTGGAACCAGGTAAACGTATGTGATAGTAGTTCTTTAAAAGAACTATCCCGCACTCATCTTTCATTTGCTTTTTGCCTATGAATTGCCATTGGTATTGATCGCATGACCAGTCTTCATAAGTTTTACACTGAATCACATACGTTTCACCGGCTCGTGGCTTGACAGGAGGCTCTTCTGTCACCAATTGCTGATCTGGATTCAGTAAAATCTGAATCATTTCAGATTTACTGAGGTTGTCTGTTGAATATGGAATGCAGCCACCTCCAAACAATGTGCTGCCTTTGGAAACTGGATGGACATCTGGGTGGACATCAGGGTGGGCATCTGGGTGGGCATCTGGGTGGACATCAGGGTGGACATCTGGGTGGGCATCTGGGTGGACATCTGGGTGGACATCAGGGTGGGCATCTGGGTGGACATCATCGTTGTACCAAATCCTGAAATGAAGGATAAGAATTAGTTTTTCATCATTATGATACATAATTATTTCTGAAAAATAAAACCGTGTGAAGATTCTCCTTCAATCAATATGAATGGAAATAGATCGGAGAAAAAATCTATTCCATTCTTACAAACAATTCCTATACGAACTATACAACAAGTAATCGTCGAAATGTGATCTGTCTTAGGTTGTACACATTCCTCGATTTCCTAACAGAGTCATCTACCGCCTGCTTAACGACAAAGTCGTAACACAGACACCCTAAGAGGTTGGGCCATTCCGGGGTAGTACACTCTCTAACACTAATATGATACAATAATTCATCCTATGCTACAGGAGCCTATCATTAACAAAAAAACACATCCACATACTGTGATCTGTCTTAGGTTGTACACAGTACACGATGTCCTATACTATACCACAGTGATTTACTAGCGATCTGTCTCAGGTTGTACGCTTTTACACATGTGGTTTTACCCTCCCAAAACACTCAAGGACTTACCTATGATGTAAATCTACATTCAATCTCTAATTTTATTAAAATGGACTTTGCATAATTTTTACATTGCAACACTAATAATTCACATTCTGTTGCTGTTGTTTATTTACTGTCCACTATTATTACGTAAGTATAGTGTACACAACCCTGACCACAGTAGGTAGGTAGTGTTAGTTACCCCGCAATGTTTACACAAACACGGTGCCTCCTTTGACACTTCAATTACAACCAATTAACGGTACTGCACACAGGGAATTATGTTGTAAAGAAACTTCATTCTATGAATTGAATATTGAATGGACTGTATCAAGTCATATTTTAAAATTGCATTTGAAACATTTTTTGATCTAAACATAATTACCGATTATACACTTAGGTTTTTCGAATTTATTCTATTAAACTTAATATTTCTCCGAACTTGAACCCATGATCGAACAATCTTTAAATATACAACCACATTAACATAATACCACATATAATATGTACAATAAATACAACATGGTTAGCTCCCCGGGGGCCTAACAGGTTAGTCTCCTTTCTTTGTAATACCTGGCTGGGAGTTAGGACGTGCAATGGGTGAAAACTTCATATAACATATACAGTTATATTGCAGTAAACCCCGTGTCCAGCATTATCTCCTCCCAGAAGCTCCCGAAGGAACTCAAGACACAGATATGAAAGGAGGTGTATTTACATGTAAAAATAAATAAAGACATGTACTTAGTTGTCACCGTTAGGTATCCGTACATGTTATACTATACCTGTGCAATCAAAAGCTGTTCGAGTTTTAGAAAAAAATAAAGTATAAATTATTAACAGAATTACATTTTTAAATTGCCAAAATTGTCAAATATGACCCCAAACAGCTTAACAGATTGCTTGTTCCAGACGATGATATTACAAGTACAAAAATATTTTATTGAAAATGTTTATTACCTAAGAAAAAAGGATTTGAACGACGACGCGATTGAAGCGAAAAAACGACAGAAACGCGCTTTACTCATCGTGATAAGTAAGCAAAATATAAGGAAAAGTTCAAAAAACTGCCATTAAAAGGACTTTCTTTTAATTTTGAGACGATAATTGGAATGAAGACCGCCTATCGACAATTGAATATACCAATGGTTTATGATTTTCGCATGTTAATTTACATATATCCAATAGAAATAAATGTGTAATATACACAACCAATCCATGACGATAAACTCGCGCAACTTAATTTCTTTTTAATTAATATCTAGTGTTTGATGGATCCAATGGAAATCGGTTGTGATAGTGTATTTAATATCGAGACGTTAATGATTTCAAATGATATTCTTTGTTATTTTAAGTTGGAAAAAAAGCTGGATTGTCGCGTAATTATAGTAATATGGGACTTACATCTAACATTTACCGACATTTAATGATCCAAAACTATCCCCAAATCAGAAATTGTAATTAAAAGTCGGTACTTCTTTCTTTGAGCAGATTCTAGATATTTTATTAAAATGAGAAATACGTTTATTTATGTATTTTTTTTTATTTATTTATTTCTTAAATCTGACTTATTTTTAAAATAGATTTATATGTTTTCCTTAACAAATATATTGTGTGCATTTAAATAGTAATCAACATGTATAATGTAATATTTCTAATAATTATATTTTTCTTGCTTTCTTTTTTTCTTCGTAAATCTATCTGTGAAGTTTGTCGGTCAGGTCTTTAGTGCGTAAGGTCGGTCAGGTCTTTATTATGCATAGTCGGTCAGGTCTTTAGTATGTATAGTCGGTCAGGTCAGGTCACGTATTATTTATCAATGGCTGATGCCAGGCCAAAACTTCTTATATTACTAACAAAAGCATAGCATATACTATAATATATTATTTCAGTATGTATTTATATTTTAAATACTGATTCAATAAAGTATACACAAATTCTTCTATTTTGGTTTACACGTTCAAGCGGTTTTCTACGGTCAGGTCAATGCATATATCATATATAAGTCCAAAATGTTATTCGTATCGATCTAAAATCCTTTATTACTAAGTATTTTACTTAAATATTCATAATATATCGTGAGCTTAATCTAATTTTTAGTCTAAATATGACGGACTATGAGGAATTTCATTTGGTCAGGTCAATACCTATTTGGTCAGGTCATTCAATTATCACAAAAATGTTGCATAATTAACAATTATTTCGGTAAAAGTGTACCACAAATACTTTTGTACAAATATCTTTATATGTCAAACAAGAATATAGCTTAAAACTTTTCATTATTAATACTTAAATTATCATTTATAACGAATTTTATGTTGGTCAGGTCAGTCAGGTCTTTAGTAGGTCAGGTCTTTAGTATCTTCCACTAAATTTAGTAGTTCCGGTTTAGAAATATAAATTACCCAATGAGAATGCGATACGTAGTTTTCTGCTTAACTTTCATTTAAGACCATTTGGATCTTCAAACACGAAAGAGTGTGTTCAGCAAAAAACAATATCTTTCTTTGCAAATTTTGTATGGTGTGTTTATTCATATTTGTACTATTGTTTCTTCTTAATTACCAAAAGTAAATGAATCAAAATATCTATGTATCTGTGGTAGGTGCCAAAAGTGGTGACATGTCATGAATCATATTTATTTTCTGTGGTAAAGCTATCATTGAAAAATTGCTATTGATTTTGGGAGCACATGTTGCATGGGGACTATCGAATTTTGACAAAAGTTGAAAAAAATGGCAAAGAAAATTCTTCGGTGACATTGGAGCATAATAATGCTACAGACAACATGGATAGCGTTAATTTTGGGATTCTGGTCTTCTCTCTATCTCTTGGATGCTTATTTAAAGGTAAAAAATCTGAAAACTTTATACATTATTACATGTTCATATACATATATATATATATATATATATATATATATATATATATATATATATATATATATACATATATATATATATATATCAACTAAGTGTACCTTTATTATAATTGCATTGTAATCCATTGTAATGTAATTAAAATGTAGTGAAATAAAAAAAATAATAGAGTTGCATATATTTAATGTGTATTCGATATTTATATTGTTAAATTCCCTTTTTTTTTAACATGGTGTTAATTAAAGTCATCCATCTTTGAGAGAGTTAAAGATTACTGATTAAAACGTGCATAAAATATTATATGAAATTCATTTTTTTCCCTAATATAGTGTTTGCTAAGAATTGTTCCTGTAAGTCCATTACTTTATTGGTCATGAAATCAATGATGATTTATAATAATTGCTATATTTATATACATTCCAACATTGAACATGTTGAATATGTAAAGAACTATAATAAAATTAACAAATTTTATTTCTAATTTTATTCTATATAATCTGATAATACTGAATGTTGTAAACATTTTCCATGGGGTCATAATTCCTCCTATCACAATATTTGTTATGCCCCGCCATGAATATGGCCGGGGCATATAGTGTTTGTCATGTCCGTCTTCCGTCCTTCCGTCTTTCCGTCCTTCCGTCTTCTGTCACACGTTGCGTTTAGCTCTGTTCAAAGCTAAGTTTCAAAGAAACTATCCAAGATATTTTCATCACACTTCATATGCTGATAGATATTGATGAGAGCTATGCAACTGCATCAACATTTTTTGACCCTGACCTTTCCTTTGACCTTGACCTCACTTTTCTTAAATTGGTGTTTAGCTCAGATTTGAACATACCATTCAAGTTGGTGTTATCAAACTTCACATGTTGATACAAACTTGCACAGATGATGCATCTAGGGATGAACACTACCAGACTTGCTTCAGATGCTGGATCTGACCTACATTTTCCAGATAAGTGACCAGGTTAAAGTTTTTGGAGCAGGTCCATTTCCAAGGAACTATAAGCCCTACCCAATCCAAACTTTCATGGACGATGCATCTAGGGATGAACACTACCAGACTTGCTTCGGATGCTGGATCTGACCTACATTTTCCTGATGAGTGACCATGTTAAAGTTTTTGGAGCAGGTCCATTCCTAAGGAACTATAAGCCCTACCCAAACCAAACTTACATGGATGATGCATATAGAGATGGACACTACCAGACTTGCTTCGGATGCTGAATCTGACCTACATTTTCATTCCCAAGTAACTATAAGCCCTACCTGAACCAAACTTGCATGGATGATGCATCTAGGGATGGACACTACCAGACTTGCTTCGGATGCTGGATCTGACCTATATTTTAATTCCCTAATAAATATTATAAGCCCTTCCTGAACCAAACTTGCATGGATGATGCATCTAGGGATGGACACTACCAGACTTGCTTCGGATGCTGGATCTGACCTATATTTTCATTTCCAAGTAACTATAAGCCCTGCTTGAACCAAACTTGCATGGATGATGCATCTAGGGATGGACACAACCGGACTTGCTTCGGATGCTGAATCTGACCTATATTTTCATTCCCAAGTAACTATAAGCCCTGCCTGAACCAAACTTGCATGGATGATGCATCTAGGGATGGACACTACCAGACTTGCTTCGGATGCTGAATCTGACCTATATTTTCATTCCCAAGTAACTATAAGCCCTGCCTGAACCAAACTTGCATGGATGATGCATCTAGGGATGGACACTACCAGGCTTGCTTTGGATGCTGGATCTGACCTACATTTTTATTCCTTAGTAACTATAACCCCTACCTGAACCAAACTGATCAAATTTTATACACATACGAATTTTCATGTTGTTTTACTAAATATCCTCGGCGGGGCATTCATGTCCTATGGACATATTTCTAGTTTTTACTACAGAAAGAAAGTTACACAGCTTTATTGGGTCGTCTTTGTATTTCCTTAATGCTTTATGGAAAATCTGTGACTGGGAAACATAAAATATACTCCCATGCAGAAAAAAAGTATGTCTACAGTATTTAAAACTTAAATTGCCTTTAGTGATAATTTTAATTGGATGAATTATTATCTTCAGAGTCACAAGACACAAGGTAGACAGTACATCAAGTTCCTAGACAGGACGGGATGTTCAGTGTCCATTTGTCAGTTCCGCTGGTACTCCACCCTCTTCAATCGGAGTTTTGTCCGGCTGGGTCAGTGGAGGCCTCGTTTGCTGCGACTGTGGTTCACTGTTGGCGTCCTCTTTGGACTCGTGGCCATGTTGCTGTCTGTCTGCCTCCTGACTCTCCTCGTTATCAACACGTTACGTAAGCAGCCGGTGGAACAACAAGTACTCACACCAGTGGTGCGTGACTCAGCTTCTTAACTCAGAAAATTCCTAGTCTTAATACTGAAGAGTTTAGGCAATTTATTCTTCTATATTTATCATATACTTCTACAGAATAATGAAAATTTTTATGATCAGAGTAAGAATAAAAAATGTACAATTGTACTGAGTTTACCAGTATATAAAAATGAAATGTATAGTGCCACATTTTTCTGATGCAGCAGGATCACTATATAATTTATAGGTATCGTTATAGCAAGAAATTTATATATGTACAGTACATGTAGATTTTGTGTGCTGTAGATGCCAGGGGTGAACCTACCGGCCAGTCAGCTGTCCTATTACCTGCTCACCCTCCTTGTGTGTGGAATCCTTCATGAGATGGGGCACGCCGTCGCTGCAGTCAGGTGAGGGAGGAGGGGTTTACTTGTGTTCCCTGTAATTTAAAACATCTTTAATGAATGTGAGTAAAAATCACATTCATTTTGCTCACAGTGGTTGGTTTTGAATCAATGATTGAAATTTATGACCTTTTTTTCTGTTACCTCTTGTGTACAGAGAGAATGTGAGAGTGAATGGTTTTGGCCTGTTCCTGCTGATTGTGTACCCCGGGGCATATGTTGATCTGTCGACGGAGCACCTGCAGATTGTCTCACCTTTAAGACAACTAAGGATTTACTGCGCTGGTGTCTGGCACAACTTCATCATCGTCATCTTCGCATTGATCGTTATTTTTCTTCTGCCTATCCTCCTTGTGCCATTCTATTCTGTAGGGAGTGCAGTAGTCATCACACAAGTGTCTGAGGTAGGAAGTTCAGTAATGATGTCTGAGTGTCTGAGGTAGGAAGTTCAGTAATGATGTCTGAGTGTCTGAGGTATCACGAATTAGACAGCAAAATGTATATCAAAGAATTTTCAGACTCACCAGAAATGTTGTCTGAATGAAAAAAAATCTATAAATGTTCTTGCAGTTCTTACTGAATATTGTTGAATAAAATAAGTTTTACCTGTCATAGTATATCATCATAATTTGTCTGTATATATTGATCCGAGCCAGAAGCAGTTCTGTTTTATATGTTTTATAGTTGCTGTTAAGGTTTGTATCTCCTGTATTGATTGTAGAATTCTGCAGTGTCTGGCCCCCGAGGGTTGGCGGTGGGGGACCCTGTGACCAGTATCAGTGGCTGTAGGGTGACGGACATAGATGACTGGCATGCCTGTGTATCCCACAGCATCAAGGAACAGTCCATGGGCCACTGTCTATCCAGGGAAAAAATCGCAGAGCTGGACACAACTCCGAAAAGTAAGATCTAAATATAGAAGTCATGTGATCTGTTCAAATTATGTGTGATTATTGTAGAACTGGACACTACTCCTTAAAGTAATGTTCTGAATATTTTACTAATAAGATGTATGATACTGCTATTTAACACCATAATTTAAAAAAAAGCAACAAGTTAAGCTCTTTGATTAAGTCATGATCTGATTGATTTATATGTGATAATTGATACAATTTTCTTAAGAAACATATACCTTGCTGCTTGTTCTCTATTGTAAACATGGTAAAAATGATATCTGTGATGCAGTGACTGGATACAATATAAATGATGTCCCTTTTTATTGGATAGATCTGTCTGAAGCTGCCATGGCCATAGACTGTTGTAATAGTACCAGCAGTACACACCTCTGTTTTAAGTATCACATCAAAAGCAAATCCAAAGATGTAAGTCATATATGTAAAGTAATATAGTAGTAATGATAATGTTAAATTTTAAACGGGGGGAGGAATGGTGATCATAAACTCCAAGTTTTGATTAATTTTCAGTGATAAAAATAACAAAATAAAATAAACTTTTTTTCATAAAATCAAGAAAAATTGTATTTTAAAATCAAATTTCACAAGTGGTTTACACTAGTTTTATAACTTTAGGTATAAACTTTTGACTATTTTTGATTTCTGCTGCCAGATGAATGTGTCTTATTCCAAGGACACGTTCTCATGTTGGAGGGAGATGGCTTACAATGGGGTATAAACAGAGGGCTAGTCATTTGTATAGAAAAGTGGGGCCTACATGTAGCTATAGTCATAGAACTATGTTTATAAGATGGGGTAGTGTTTGTGGTTGCCGTGGTCAGATATTACTAGATAATGATAAATTATCTAGCGGGGACTTGTACCTTTATATTGTATTTTTTAAAACTCTGAGTTCTGAAGACCAGATATATAATATACATATATTTATGATTTTGTTTGCTAGTTATGTAATCATTACGGCTTGAGTTTTGTAGTTTTCATTTTGTAAACATTTCCTTATTCAGAGGAAATACAAAGTAATGGAAAACAGTATGTGAAGCATGGTTTATTTTACAGTAACTTGAACATTGCAGAAATATGCCTGTCTACCTGCCAGGCTGACTACAGACCGCCCAATGTGTAAGTACCAGAGTGACTGCTACATTCCAAAGGCTGACATGGCTTGTGTGTACCCTGCCCTAGACAATGTGACCAAACTTCTACAGGTGTTCCATGGCAGAAAACCTCCTCTGTTGTTCCTAGGGCATCCTCTGGACTTACATTACTCAGGTACGGTATCCCCTGGATGTACATTACTCAGGTAGGGTATCCTCTGGATGTACATTACTCAGGTAGGGTATCCTCTGGATGTACATCACTCAGGTAGGGTATCCTCTGGATGTACATCACTCAGGTAGGGTATCCCCTAGATGTACATCACTCAGGTAGGGTATCCTCTGGATGTACATCACTCAGGTAGGGTATCCCCTAGATGTACATCACTCATAGGGTATCCTCTGGATGTACATCACTCAGGTAGGGTATCCTCTGGATGTACATTACTCAGATAGGGTATCCTCTGGATGTACATCACTCAGATAGGGTATCCTCTGGATGTACATCACTCAGATAGGGTATCCTCTGGATTTACATCACTCAGGTAGGGTATCCTCTGGATGTACATCACTCAGGTAGGGTATCCTCTGGATGTACATCACTCAGGTAGGGCATTCCTGGATATACATCACTCAGGCATGGTATTCCCTGGATTTACATTTCTCAAGTAGGGTATCCTGGATTTACATTTCTCAAGTAGTTCTTTCTTTATTAATCTGAAAGTGAACAATTTTAATTTCGATTTTCATCATGAAGGTTAGATATCCCTTCAGTTCAATCACAAAATAAGGGATTCCCTTTGATCTATATCTTAGGATTTGATATCTCTCGACTTGCCAAAGGTCTTTTTCAGTACGGTTCTTTATTAATCTGAAAGTGAACAATTTCAATTTTCTGTTTCCTTTTATTTTCATTTACATGTAGTCAAAATGTAAATAATAGAATTATGTAGTCAGAATTCTACTTCCCAGGAACCATAAAGATTCCAGAATTCCATTTTTGAAATTTTTCAAAAACTCCAAAAATCCTATAATTATGTGTACTTTTTTCTGCAGGGTTTCTTTTGCTTCAGTATTATAAGTATTTACTTGTTTTCAGTGATGCTGAGTAACTATGTTCCCAAATCTTCCATTATTCCACTCAACCTGCCCTATGTGTTGGAGACATTCAGCAAGTATCCTTTGTTCAGAATATAATGACATTGAATCACAGGCTCTTTCTGGAACTTTTCAAAGATTTCTAAGCATTTACATGTATTATCCTGATATTGAATTTGAGTGTCTTTCTTGAAATCAGAAGTTGCAGATTATAACTTCCAAAGGTAAATACCATGAAATTTATATAAGCATTCTTTTTACTCCATTACTGACCTTAACTGGTGACAGATATTTAATTTCTCTGTCGGGGGCACTGGTCATACTGAACGTGGTGCCGTGCTACGCCCTGGATGGTCAGTGGATATGCCACGCCTTTATTGAGCTGTCCCTGGCGTCCGTCATACCTGACCGTGAGATTCGGGGACTGATCTATTCTGTGATAATCCTGTATGGGACTGCATTACTCTTAGTCAATGTCTTCATAGCCATGTGGATGTTATTTATGTGAGAGTCAGATTAAGGGGGGTAAATGTGGCAAAGTTCATTAAATTTGTTGATTGAAATACTGATAAGAAAACCAACCATGTTAACATTGATACATGATGGATTTTTATTGATAGTCTGATATTAGTCTCATTTTATTTTGTCAAACACTTCTAAAACAACTATGATTTACTGCCGTTTTGTTGAATGGTGGGTGACTGAGTGTTCTGTATTCATCTGATGAGGTATGAGAGACTTGAGAAATTGAGATTTGTACTAGTGTTGATGTATGACTGTATGATAGTATACCAGTATGGTGACAGTATCTGAGTATAAGGTTCTTGGTTAGAAAGGTTGACTTGTGTATCTTTACAAGAAGTTAAGATAAGTATGGTACTAGGGTAGAATGTGTGACATATCACCTTTTTCTATGCTTGGTGAGTTATTACACCATTTGATTGATGTCTTCTTTATCTTTTTTTAAAATTCATCGATCTCCTCTGAGTGCAATGTACCGGGTACCGGTAGGTCAAAGTAAATCATAACTGTATATTCTGTACATGACATCAAATGATTCTGAAGAAATTTATTATCATGATTTTAGTTGAATGAGAATGACATAAATGATTGTATGCATACAGTAAAACTCATTTAGTACGAACACAGATATAGCGAATTCAGATATAGCGAAGTTTTTCTGGGTCCCCGGCAAAATTCTTAACAAATCTTTGTAAAACTTTACGGTTATTATGAACTCTGATATAACGAATTTACAGATATAGCGAACTGATTTTGAGTCCCGTTGAGGTTAAATATAATGAAATCTACATCTTTTATAACGAACCTTCAAAGATCTCAATAAATTTGATAAATTGAACTGACTTTATTTCCTTTTAGCATTTGTATATAAATTCAATTCATAATAAAACCTTAGTTATCGAAGGTATGTTTTGTAATATTTGCTTCCCCAACATATTTGGTAGTAATACTTCAAGGAAAATATGCATATTGTGAATTCGCTATACATGTATATGGTTATACGAATTCGTTATATGGATATAACGAATTTCGGATATAGTGAATAAAATTCACAGGTCCCCAGGACTTTGCTATAACCAAGTTTTACTGTATATGTATATGTATTTAATCATCAAACAAACTCCATCAATTTTCATTCACAAAATGACATCACCAGTGTTGCAATGTTTTATATATTTATGTATGTATTTTTTCCATGTTCATTTGTGATATATGTAACAACATAAGATAATTTTTGTACGAAACAAATCATGTATGCTGGACCAAGGAGAATCTCCTATATTCCATTAAATAATCAATATGAATGGTCTGCTATGTTTTAAAAATTCAACAAGTATATATTTTAAAAAGATTATTTTAAGTTAAATTGGTCTGTGTTTGAAAAATGCAAAAAATAAATATCTTTGTATTAAGTTCACTGCATATTACTTTTTCATCAATTACACCATTAAGATAAAGAATCAGAAGCTGTGGTGGTATATCACCCTTTTAAAGATGTTTTGGAAATACATGTAACACTTTTTGAATGTGTTTTTTCATATCAGAGAGAATTTTTAAAAAAATATTAATTTAAATCTATACAAAGCAGCAGTAGAACAAAGTCAAAATTTTGCAATACTGAATTTGAATTTGACAGATCGAAATCTGACTTCTTTTGTAACCCTGTGTTTTTTTTTCCCAACCAGTTTAAGTTGTATTATTTTGAGATATATGATGTAAAATTTGACAATCATTGCCAATTGCAGCAATGTAGAATTCTGTTCACTTGCAAAAATTTGTCTTTTTGTCTGACTATAGCAAGAAAGAGTTCTCCCCCTTGTAGAGACTGAATACATCTTACAACAACTATAAAATGATTACTTGTTGAATGTGCATTTTGTGTAAATAAAAAAATATCATCATTGCAATTTTTCCTCATGGTCCAACATTTTAAATGTTTAATTTGAAGTTAACACTTTATTTTTATCTAAAGTGGGCAGTGAAAAGCAAAATATGGACAGTAGTATATTACCAGAACGAATGCAAGTAATATAACATTATTACAAAGCTGATTAGATTTATTTAGTGGGATTCAATAATTTTCTCAGGGAATAAATGTCTTTGGCATAGCAAATCATTTGTTTCTCTTTCAAAACATTTCAATGATAAAATATACCTCAAAGGCGAAACAATTTACATACTGGTAATTGTCTTTTCAGAACTCCAACGTTAAACCATCACTTTTTGAATTACTCTGTTTATATGATATGATGATAAGTAATGTATTCATTCTGAATGAAATTAAATGTACTCTCTTAATTAAGTACTATTATACATGTACTAATCATGGTATCGTTTACTTCTATGCTTTCATCATGAATTGTGAGTGAATACAGCAAATAACGTCTATTGATGAATTAAAATTTTGCTATTACTGATCTGAATTTTTGTAATTTTTAGCTCATCTGAGAAGGCTCAAGTGAGCTTTTCTGATCACATTTTGTCCGGCGTCCATCTGTTTCCATCTGTCAGTATTTTGACCATCATAGTAAACTTTTCACATTTTCGATTGTTTTAATGCAACCGTTTTTCGCAATTATTAAAATTGCAAAATTAAGAAATTATAGGTAAAAAATGAATTACAATTTGATATAACTGATTTTTTAACTGATTTTGCAATTGGTAGGAATGTTGAAAATTTGATGGCAGTGTGTTAAAAATCTTCTTCTCAAGAACCACTGTGCCAGGAAATGTGAAGCTTTAAACAAAGGTAGTAATAACAATTTTGTTACAAAAAAGTAATGAACATATGCCCAAATTTAAAACATAGAAATTTTACGAAAATATATAGGAAAATTCTTTTAAAATTTCTTCTGAGAATTACATGTCTTATATTGATCATATTTATTTGAATAAAAATTTGCTAGTTTTTTTGAAGTTTGTTCATATCATGACCCCTCTCTTAGGGCGGGGCCAATTTTGTGTTTTACATATATTGAAATATATAGTAAAATTCTTAAAAATCTTCTTCTCAAGAATAACAAAGCCATAATTGATCATATTTATATGGAATTTGCTTTAAAGTGCTAAAAATTAGTTTTTCCTATATAATTCCCAGGGGTAGGGCGGGGCCAAAATGGCCGACCTGTAGTTTTACATAGAATTAAATTGGAAAATTCTTTAAAAATCTTCTTCTCAAGAATAACAAAGCCATAATTGATCATATTTATATGGAAGCATTCTCAGGTAGTTAATGTAAGTTATATATCTATAAAATCGTGACCCCAGGGGGTAGGGTAGTTTTCACAATAAAACTAAAGATTTACATAGAAATACTAGTTGTAAATTCTTTAAAAATCTTCTTCTGAATTTTCAAAGCCATAATTGATCATATTTATTTAACTCTTGTAAAAAATTAAAATATATTTGTAAAAAAATAAAAGAAAAGACTGGGCAGAAAAAAATGAACACTTCCACAAGTTTTCATGTAGCAAATATATAGGAAAATTCTTTTAATATATCTTTGCATGTCAAAGCCATAATTGATCTATTAATGCATGGAATGCATCCTCAATATATCTTTGTGTGTCATGTTATGCCTATTTGTGCATGGAATGCCCACAATATTGCTTTGAACATTTTTAATGCATTAAATATATAGGAAAATTCTTTAAATTTTGCTTTGCACATATATAAAGCCATATTTAACACCTCATATTATGCCTCACATGTTGATGGTTGTAGACAATATGTTTGCAATCATGACCCCTTGGGTTAGGGCAATGGCCAACCATAAGTTTTACATAGAAATATATACCTCATAAATTCATTGGTTGTCCACAATATAGCTCCTTGATTTGTCATGTAATGCAACTTCTCAATAATAAACCAATTTTTACTTTTGGGGAGCCACATTTGTCAGGTGAGTGATGTGGTCATAAACTTTGTTACATTTTCATCTTCTTCCAAACAAAAGCTTGCAAGATTTAAACTGGTGTTAAATCTAGTTGTATGTAGTTTTAGAGGAGTTCTTTTGAATTTTCAGGATTTAAGACTTCCTTAACTCTTTTAAAAAATTAAAATATATTTATGTAAAAAAAAGAAAAGACTGGCAGAAAAAAATGTCTTGTTTTCATGTAGCAAATACTTTTGTGCATGGAATGCATTCAATATATCTTTGCATGTCATGTAATGCCTATTAATGCATGGAATGCCCACAATATATCTTTGTGTGTCATGTTATGCCTATTTGTGCATGGAATGCCCACAATATTGCTTTGAACATTATGTAATGCATTATATGTGTGGGAAATGCCAATAATTTTGCTTTGCACATATATAAACCTCAATACAGCTTTGCACACCTCGTATTATGCCTCACATGTTGATGGATTGCCTAAAATATAGCTTTATGCATCATATATAAAGCCTTATAATTACATGGGTTGTCCACAACATAGCTTTACCTGTCATGTAATGCCTTTTTAGCTCACCTGAGCCGAAGGCTCAAGTGAGCTTTTCTGATCAAAATTTGTCTGTTGTGTAATCGCAAAATTTAGTCAAATGTCACTTTTCGTTTCTCAGAACCACTGGGCTATTTTTGACCAAAATTGCTACAAAAATTTTGTTAATCATCAAAATGTGCAAATGACACTTTGCCATTATGTCAAATGGGATATAATTATGAATTTGTGAAAAATTAATGGCATTTTTAAAAAATCTTCTCAAGAACCACTGTGCCAGGAAAGATGAAACTCATGTGAAATCATCTTCAGGTAGTGTACTTCAATTAGCTGTCGTGTGAACGCAAGGTTTAATTCGCATTAAAGTTTTACATAGGAGTATATAGGAAAAATCTTTAAAAATCTTCTTTTCAAGAACCACTTGGCCAGGAAAGATGAAACTCACATAGAATCATCTTCAGGTAGTGTAGATTCAAGTTTGAACAAATCATGACCCCTGGGGGTAGGGTAGGGCCACAATGGCTGATCAAAGTTTTACATAGGAATATAGAGGAAAAATCTTTAAAAATCTTCCTAAGTACTTTAAAGCCATGATCAGTGATATTTATATGGAATCATCCTCCTTAGTGTAGATTTTAGTTTGTTTTTCAAATCATAACCCCCAGGGATAGGGTGGGGCCACAAAGGTCGATCAAAGTTTTACATAGAAAAATAAAGGAAAAATAAGATGAAGAAAAGCTATGTTTAGTCAGATTGACATGTAAGCATCTTCATGTATTGAAGATTTAAATTTGTTCAAATCATGGCCTTTTGGGGTAAGGAGGGTAGGACCCCCCCTCCCTCAGGAAACTTTTCAGTTCTGATCTGCTTTTTCCTAGCCGATGTGCTCAGGTGAGCAATGTGGCCCCTGGGCCTCTTGTTTGTGCATGGAATGTCTGGCACTTCATGTAATGCTATATTTTTTTTGTGAATAGTATGCCTACAATATGGCTTTGCCTGTCATGTAATGCCTCATTTGAGCATGGAATGCCTACAATATAGCTTTGCGTGTCATGTAATGCCTTATTTGTGCATGGAATGCCTACAATATAGCTAAATTGCACATCTTGACCAAATTCTCTCCATAACAATATACATGTATTTAAGTCAGCCATCCAGCTCCATGGCGGTGCTAGTAAAGCTTTGTTTTGCACATCTTCATATACATGTAGCACCAGATAACATGGTCTCCACACATGTGGTAGTTATTATATCACAGGCAAAAGTGGCTCACATAAATTTTATATGAAATTCACATGAATTTTATGTGAATTCTTAGAATGAGAAAGAGACAGAAAAAAAGATATTTGAAATTTGTATGAAAACTTCCAGAAATTTTGACATAACAGTCTAATGAATTTCACATGAAGAGCATATCGCATAAATATTGTGCAAAGAAAACTTCACATTAAAGTTCTGAAAATATTATGTGAATATTATATAAATTTTTTCACATGAAATTCATATGAAACAAGATGTATTTTTGAAACACTATGCGCCCGGCGGCAACAAAGTTAAAAAAAAATGCATATTTTTAGCATATAGGTCACAGTCAAGGTTACAAGGTCATTGATCTTGGTGTCATTTGAAAGAACTTGATTAGTGAAGTACGCATACCAAATATGAAGTCTCTATCTCTCATGGTTCAAAAGTTATGGTAGAGGTTCAAAAAAAGCTCTTTTTATCATATAGGACACAGTCAAGGTCATAAGGTCATTGACCTTAGAGTCCTGTGAAAGGGCTTAATTAGTGGAGTATGCATGCCAAATATTAAGTCTTTTTCTTTCTTCGTTCAAAAGTTATGGGGAAGGTCAAAGTTTGCCGACAAAAAAAGCTATAGTTAGTGTATAGGTCACAGTCAAGGTCACAAGGTCATTGATCATGGTGTCATTTAAAAGAGCTTAATCAGTGGTGTATGCATACCAAATACGAAGTCTCTATCTTTTATGGTTCAAAAGTTATGGCGACGGTTCAAGTTTGCAGATAAAAACTATTTTTAGCATATAGGTCACAGTGAAGGTCACAAGGTCATTGACCTTGGTGTCATTTGAAAGAGCTTATACAATGTATATAATTAGTTTCAATCTGGGCACATAAAAATATTTATATAATTTTCAAATAAAAAGATAATGACATCAATATCATGTGAGACACTTTTCCCAGTGTGTAGATATCGGTACACAATATACATTCTGCATCCTGTGAAACTAAAACTGAAGTCCTTTATAGTTACTAAAATACTTTATTTTTTTGCTACAGAGATCTGTAGGACAGAATTGCACTACACAATGTGATGGTTATATTGGTATAATAACAAGCACTTCAAACAACTCTTTTGGCTTACTGTGAAGGGTTCAAGTAAATTGAACAGCAATATATTGTGAAAAAAATATCAAACAATAAGGTTTTCTTTTTGATTTTGTAAAATGTTTTCAGTTAAATAATGTACAAAGTTATTTTTACATGCTTTCCACTGATTAAGTTTATTGCATAAAATGTTGGCATTAACTGAAATGGATAATCAGCCTAACCTATATACTGTAAACCAACTTTTATTCGCGTGCGAGAAATTTTCGCGAATTTTGCGAGAATCTCGTCATCGCGAATATTTCTCGTCGCGAACCAGTTCTTAAAGTCTATGGGTCTATTAACAAGAGAACCTTAATAGGCTTTGGTCGCGAAAATTAATCATGTGAAATACTTTACCCCTCGTTAAATAGTGAAATAAAGTAGTCGCGAATAAAAGTTGGTTTACAGTATATGATATAAACTGAAAGTAAACTGGATATGCTGGGCTGCATGAGATTTCGTTTGAATGGTTTAATCTTAAAAAACAGAATTTTAATCATTGTTCTGTACATTATAATTAACAGGCAGGAAAAGTAGTTTTGATGGAGGACATAAACATACATGTATATACAATCATGTATAATATTCACTAACAGACAAGACACACATATAATGCTGCCATTTTTGCATATCCAATAATTTAATGTAAAATATATAAAATGATGATAACTTTGGTACAAGATGAATGTTTAAAATTCATAAATATATTCAGAGCATTTATTAAAATTAGGTAAAAGAATGGTAAAATGAAAACATCAGAAATCTGAAATGAATGGCAAGCACTTTCAGTGTTCAAAAATAGCACACTATGCCTATATAAAATCTCATGCTACACTACAGAAAAGCTACAGTTACGTGCTAGCTAAAACAGAGTATACATGATTTTAATTTACATGTTCAAATAGTTTGATGTCTTTTTAGTTTTATAAAAATAGATATTTATTTACATGAAATATAGTCTAATGATCTTTTGAATATAAAACGACTTTCATACAAAATTTTAAAACAAAGAATAAACAGGGAAAAATAACTTGATTTAAAAAAATTAGAAATATTGCATATGGCACTTTTCAATGTAAATTGGAACAACTTTTGTCATGGAAACATTATTACATCACAGGGAGTTAAATGCTGGGTGAAATTTTTTCCCAATGAAATCAGAATTTTGATTTACACCATAGAGAACCTCCAATCGTCTTCGCTGTTAGAATTGTTCTGTTTGGAATTTCCAGACATTGATTTGAACGTACTTTTGATGGAGCCTATTAAAGAGGAACTACTCTTTTCACTGGGGAACTTCTGACCTCCTCCGCTGCCGACTTTCACGGCCTCCTTGTTGAATCCGTAACCATGGTCCACATAGTCTGAGGAGGACATTTTGAGAGAGGAGTTGGATCCTGTTTTTAGGGATTCCATAGACAACATCATATCCTCTCCGACCTCGAATATCGGATCAAACTTGATGTATGTGGATGATGTGCTGTGCCTCTTGCTGCTGCTCTTGTGACTTTTGTTGGCATTTTTGCTGGCATCACGACTTGAGATGACTGATATGGGATCCACATCCGTCTTTGGACGACGTCTCACAACTTTGCTGGTATCTATTTTTGAAACGTCAACCCCTCCAATAATCTTGGTCCCCTGATTACCACCAGAGATATCTTTCACTTGGTCGATATTAGTTATTCCCATCCGACGTGAATCCCTTCCACTGACCAGCTCACTTCCTGTGTCCAGTCCGTTCATCCTGGAGTCAGCCATAATGGGTTCCATGTCATTGACTGCCACTCTGTAGGATGAATTCCTCTGGACCAGTTCATTGTTCACCACTCCCTGAGTGTTACGTACCGCCACCCTGTACGAGTCTGTCCGCGTGCAGTCCATCAGGACGTCATCATCAGAGGTAAGTGGGGGGTATCCGTCAGTCAAACCACTGTAGGAATTTTGATTGCTTAGGGAAGGAGGTGGGTTACTAAGTCTTTGCTGGAAGGATGGACAGCTCAGACTTTCTTTCATGGCCACTCTGTATGATCCTGATCTATAGCTGTTACCTTCTCCCATTGCCACTCTGTAAGAATCTGTTCGATTGGATGGTTCAGCAGGGGTTCCTTTGTGACAGTTTCTGTCATTGGTGGAATCTGCCATGGCTACCCTGTAAGAATCTGTTCTACTGGATGATTCTTCTGCATAACTAGAGCCACTATTATAGCTAGAGGCCCCCTTACTCAAGTTCATGACATTCACAACTGCACCTCTCTTGCTGTTAGTAGGAGCTTGCTTTGTTGGTTTATAGTTTCTGGTCCTTTCTTGGTACTTGGTGCTGGTATAGTTCACCATGTGTTCAGGGAGCGAAGTTGTGGATTTCATTTTCCTCTCTGGTTCTGCTGCCTGAACAGGTGCTTGCTTTGTTCTTCTCCTACCCCTCTCGACTGGTTTATATGTTGGTTCTGAACTTTGGAACCTTTGAGAAGGAGTGTCCCAATTTCTGGAATGGTTTTCTAATCTGGAGACAGAAGAGTGAGGTGTAGATGTTGACATAGGTGGTCCAGAGAATGTTTGGAAAGATTGATTTTCAGGTTTAATGTCATCAAAAGAATCCAGACAGCTTGTTGTTATTGCTATTGTTTCAATTGTGGAACTAAAGTTGGAATTGTCACTAGTGTAAGTATACTGATTCTGAACAGAAGCAGAGAATGTGGACTGCTCTGAGAGAGATTCAAATGATCCTGTAGGGGTGGTCATCATAGGAACATCCAGGTTGGATAAATTTGGGGAGCTACATGTGCTCTCCATGGTGACATAGGTTAAGCTGTTGCTAAGAGACAAGGAGCCTGCAGATTCCAGCGAGTTGATGCTACCAAAGGAACAAGTGCTGTACATTCCAGAATAACTTGTGGATGAATTCGATGCAGTTTGATTTAAGACAGCACCATTATGAATGGGGACAATTGTACAAGGTGGATAATGACCCTCCTGGGTTTTTTCAGAGGAAGGTATTTTCATAGTGTCTTTTTCACTAGGCACTTTCTGAGACTCCTGAGATTTCCTTTCTGAAGACTGAGCGCGGGCGCCAGGTTTAACCACCAGAGTGGGGTGATACTTGAGTGGTATGTCTTTTCTTTCCTCCTGGACTGTCAGTTTATACACGCCTTCTTCTGCTAAATCAGCTACTTTGGTTTCTTTCTCTCCATCTTCAGAAGAAGTGGGAGAGGAGACAAGTGGAAGCTGTAGAGACAGGGGCATTCCGGGGTTGAACATATTGATGACAGGTGAAAAGTTCAGAGACTTTGGAGTCTTTGGGCCACTCATTGATCGGTCTGTACTTTTCAGAATTCCTGACTTTGGATGATCCTCCTTTGACTTTTTGTTCATGCACCTAGGCCAAGATTTTGTATAGTCATGTGGTTGTGCATCTTTTGAGTTGGAGTGAAATCCTTTTGGCAATGTCTGACAGTAAACACTTTCATCTGCCATGTTTGTGTTGTCTAAAGAACCCTTCCCCTCGAAATGAGAAAACGAGGAAGGATTTGTTGAATTTCCAAGAGAATTATTTTCACTAGCAACACTTTCAGTGGAATTTTTGTTCACTGTGGGATTGCCTTCTACTGAAGTCTGTCTACTGAGTGAGCTGTCTTCATCACTCATCACACACAGGGATGGAATGGAGGTTTTAGATATCTGAGTCTTTGAGATCAGTCTGGAAGACATAGCCTCCTGGTCTGTATCAGAGAAAGAAGAAAAATCGTATGGAGATTTCGGACCCACCCCTGAACAGGAACTGGTTCTCTTTGGTGGCGCTGGAGGGCTAACTTTGTTAATTATCTTCCCACTGCTTGTCTTGGCCCCAGCATACTTCTCTCCTCCCTCAGGATTATGGATCACACTGTCCACACTACACAGACTCTGGGAGTCCTTACTAATGGAGAGTTCCTCTTCCTCCTCTTCTTCATCCACTAGTGTGGCATTGCTCTTCCTTAATCCGCTGTCATTGTGGAAGGATGTGTAGAAGCCCTCCTGATCCACAGAATACACCGACGATTCCCCGTCGTCACATGGCGGGGGTCTCTTCTGGGGTGATGACATCATCAGGTCCAGGGCCATGATGTTTTTCTTGGTCAGCCTGGTGAGGGAGGACAGAGTCTCGGCACTACTGGACATCACCTCCTCCCGCCCCAGGGCTCGCACTGCCAGACTCTTCAGCCAGGTCTCGGTGTCCAGCTTGGCGTTTACGACAGAACTGACGTCCCCCGCTACCGTGCTGGCGTCATCTCCGGTATAACCTCCTGTGGATTCTGTCCCACACCTACAAGTACAAGCAGAAGAAGGATAATTTTATATTTCAATGAGACGTTAGTTATATACTAGTACTAGCATATCTTATCAAAGATTTTGCTTAAAATTTTCCTTGTTTACATACTACCTGGGTTTTTCTGAAGATTTATTTTAATGAGTAAAATACTCCTTTAGAGCTGATTAAAACTTTTGCAATATAACTACATCAAATTACTGCAATTGGGATATAGTAAAGGAAAATCCCTTGAATTGAAATTAAGTGCAGTTCAAAATTGATTCCTGATATTTTGCATTAATTATGGATAAAATATTTTTGAAAAATATTTTCTTTAAAAAATATATATACATTAGAATTCTCCCCTCTCTTAACCCTCTCTCTCTTTTTTTTTTGCATAGACAAATCAAAAGAATACAAGCAACACATTCATGTGCAAAAATCTGTTTAAAGGGAGAAAACTCTTCTTCACTTTATTTAGATCTTATCAAGGAAAAAGGAAAAACCTTGATGTTGTATTATAAATAAAAAAAATCCCCCTCTACTAAGAGCACTCAATCAAATAAGTCAAAAGCACAGAAATGGGGGAGCATTTTTTTTTAATAGAAAGAAAATGTCTCAATTACATGTAGCATCATGGATTCCAAAGTCAGCTATATAAGAATATGATATTCTTACACTGAAATTTTAGAAGCTTAGTATTTGTTATAAACCCCTATCTTGTAAGATCTACAAGCAGTTTCATATATCAGAGGTGTACAGGTAAATAAAACACAGTGAAATACTGAGAAAGCATACCAAGATGAAATAGGTAATAGTGAATCTGACACCTCAACACGTGCGCTAAAATGAAAAGCCTTTAACTGGTAGAATTAGGGAAAGCAAATCTATTACTCGTAATAATAAGGATAAAGAATTGTTCTTTACAATAGCCATGACATACGGAGGTGAGAGTTCTTTTACTCTTTTATTCTCTCCTGGCATTAATCATCAGATTATTACTTAAATAGCCCTCTTAACTATGGCCAATCAAATCAAGGCACCTACTTATTACATTTGTAGATGGCATTGCTTGATTGAAAAATCATAAGTGTTTTTCATACCTGTATAAGGGAAAAAATAGAAAAAATAACTTGCTGTATTCTCTCACTATAGTGGTACTCAATGATTTAACATTGAGAATCGGGAAAAAGTGAAAAAATTAACTTCAGAACTGTGCAAACACCCATGATTTAATTAGGGGGAAAAAATTGAAAATATAATATTTATTTGTAGCTTTAAACTCATTTTCAGCTGTAACTTATTATAAACTGTAGTATAGGTTTGGTATTCCTCAGACTATCTTACCAATCTTTTTTTTCTCTTTAAGATTGTATTACATTTCTATATTTTACAAGGCCAATTATAAAAGTACGCTACGATTTTATCCTTTGTTTACCTGCTTTCTGGAGGAATCGGCGAGTCTCGTCCTGAGTCGTTACCAAGGGAACACTGGGACGTGGAGTTAGGAATAGTCTCGGCTTTCACCACATGGTCACTGTCTAGAGAGTGTCGATTACTACTGCTACCACTCCAATGACCTACAAAACATGGGTCAAGGTCATAAGTACTAATGTTTGGTACCAAACTTAAAACTGTTTCTTTTTTTCCCCCAATATCTTAAATTAATTATTGATTAAATCTTAAATACTTTACTGATCATTTTTCTTACAAATTGAATATTATGTAGTTAAGGAGAATACAGAATTTTCACTAAATGCTTTTTAAGGGGGTAATGTAATGGAGGATTAATTTGAATCTAGTTGTCAGTAGCTTTGTCCAATGTTTTTGAGAACAACAATGCACTAAGAGTTTTGAATAATTATATTTCATAATAATTGTGTTTCTTTGAGTTTTATTGTCCCGTGATTAGAGGATGTTATAGCTAAATAAGTAGTCTATTGATCCTAGAGGAGCGATGTTGACTTTTAATATGAGCTGTTCAGGAAATGGCTGGCATGCTTGTGAGTATCAGATTAACGCGTTAACCCGATCCTAACGTCCGACTTAAGAACACCAAACACGGATATCTAGACAAGCTAACATTGATCTCAGGAGCAGGCTGGGTAAAACTATCACAGAATTCACAGTTTGTACAGAATAGAAATAAATATTGCATGTCAACGTCCAATTCATCAAAAAATACAAATCAAATAATGTCAATACAAATGCATGCAGTGGTTTTATTGCCTTATAAATGACACACATCCAAAGCGGAGGAAATGATTTGTGTTTTTAATTCAATTTATTGAAGAAAAACTATGAATAAAAGAATTAATGTCATGTCAGATCAGTACAATCCAAGGTGAACTAGGTGATTCTTGCTTTGTGCTTTTTCAAAGCTTAGATATTTGCAAAGAATGCATTTCTGAATATCTGGTCCTTTGATTAGTTTGCATAAATTGTAACATCATCAATAATTCTCAATATCAAGAAAACTTTAATGTACATGTTTATGCACTTTTCAAATATTACCTTTTACTCTGATGGATTTGAGAATACCTATGTATGCATTTCTATATACATCCTAGGAATAATGAATTGAAAAAAAAGTACTGCAGCAACATGTATATTTAATGAATGAGAAAACCAGTTTTTAAAGTGTTCCTTGAACATAAAAAGCATTAAGTACCTTTTACCTTCTGTGTTACTGGGAGAGAAATTTGTTATGTTATCTGAAAAAGACTTCCAATCTGTGTTACTTGGGGGGAATTAACGTTGAACTGAAGATGTGTAACTGGGGGAGAGGTATATGGGTAAATTTTTACATTACCTGAGAAAGACCGTGAATCTGTGCACTGGGGTGGACCGTGGGTGTATGGGTAAATTTTTACATTATCCTGAGAGAGACCATGAATCTATGTACTGGGGTGGACCGTGGGTGTATGGGTAAATTTTTACATTACCTGAGGAAGACTGCCGATCTGTGTAACTGGAATGCCTCTTGGAAATTTCCCTTAACTTGACAGAAGTCGTCCAGTCCTTCGGCATGGACTCCCAGGGAAACTCGTTTCTTTTGACATTGCGCCGAGGTAAAGTATTACACTCGGTCTCAAATCCATAGTATGTCCCCGGACCAACCCTCAAGTTCATTTCTTTTCTGGTCAGCATGTTATCTGGCATACTGGGCATTTTAGCCAAGTTTGAGGGACTAGAAACCTCAAAGTCTATGGCGTCCAGGTCTAGGGACTTTGGTCGCGATTTGTGGATTTTCTCGACAAGTCTGTTCCCGCTGTTGCTGCGTACCAGGGATTTGATTTTATTACTGATGATGCTGCCGCGTTTAGTGAGACGGGAATGTCGACTGTCATTAGAGTTATTACTATTCAGGCTTAGCTCACTTTCATTAAGTCCGGCAATCTGAGATTTTCGCTCAATTAGAGCCTTCGCAGAATTTAACTTGGCACACCTTGGAAGAGATTTTGATCTACGACATGGAAAAAATTTCATGATTTTAGGTTCCTTGAACAATCTCTCATCCTCTTTTCTCTCTTCAATTTTGGCATCGATTTCATCCAGATATTTTGCCATTTCCTCGTCCCTTGGAACCTCAACTTCTAGAACGTCCAAATCGTCAAAATTATAGTCCCTAACATGGTCCCGTCCACTAGTACTCACTCGCTTCTGTTCAAACATTTCAATTTCCTGCAGAATACTCTCCGACACACCAGATACAGTTCTCCTTCGTTTCTTCTTTTTGACATCCTCATATTCTATTTTTGCAAGGACTTTCCTGAAGGACTGCATGCGATGGAAGCCTGTCCCCGAGGTGTCTATTTTTATCACTTCGGACGGAGGCACCACAATTTCACTTGACTCATTCTCTTTTTCCTTCTCCTCTTTGGGGGGATCTTTCTTTTCCGTGGGGTAAAGTTCATCGGTGATGTGAATTGTTTTCCTCCTTTCTTTCAATTTCAACTTTTTATACTTCTTCTCAAAAGTAAACACATCTTGTGACTGAAAGAATAATAAAAGTCCATCAATAATTCTCTGATTTTTCTTTTTTTGAACTATCTTGACCTAAAAATACTTTCTTACATATTTACAGAAATGAAAAGTTCAGAACACCAAAAAATAAATTCTCTCAACCTAAGTATTTAGGAACAATTGATTAACTATACCTTTCTATCTTTCCTCATACTGAACAATGCTTGACTATCCTATAATGCATCTAAAATCTACATCCACTTTTCCAGTTGCTTCAAGGTGTCAAGAGGACTACTCAACTGACAAATACTTCCCATTTACAAGTTGTTTTTGTTTAATTAACTAATTAATATTTAATTATAAAACATCGCCTAATGATGTAAAAATGTTATCATTAGTGGTGCAATGAATTTAAAACTCATTGGATAAAATTTCGGATGTGCAATTAGGCAGTAGTTATGAACAAATGCCACAATGGAAGCAATTATGGTGAAAATTCTGAAATGACCATTAAAACTGTATCAACTTTCATAACTGTATGTACCCATATACTGTAAATCACTTTTTATTCGTGAGAACTTTATTTTCGCGTAATTACGCGAGACAGTGTTCTCGCGAAAATTTAATTCTCGCGTATAATAGTATCCCTTAAGATTATATAGAGCAATAACCACAATTCACGAAAAATTTGTCTCGCTAATCAAGAGTCAATGACTATCTAACGAAAATAAGGTGTCGTGAAAATTTAGTGATCTACAGTAGTCTATAATTACCAACTAAATATAATTTATACATTCCTATCCTTCTGTTATAACTTCAGAACTATTATAATGTAGCTCACTAGACATACATACCAGAAAGTTAAAGATTAATTGTTTAAAAAAAAAACAAAACTTCAAGCTCATATGTTTTAGGTATTATTTCTTGCATTATATGCATTATCCTGTCTAAAGCATTGTATTTTCACTCCTCTTTATTCACCTTTCAATATTTGAAAGTCTCTGTGGCCTTGGCATGTAACTGAGGCCTATATAAATAAATTGTGTGATTCTGGTTCCCCGACCAACGTTAAAATATATGAACTGACGATTTATCTACAAATTTTGTTCAAGAATTTAAAAAAAAATCTGGTTTTGCTATTAGAAATGACTGAAATCCCAATCTCAACCACTTCTGTTTATGAGAAAATGCATATCCGAAGCAAAAAAGTTTTTACAGTAATTTCCACAGTAAAAACTTTTGTGCTTCCTATGAAATGTTAATTCAAAATAAAATATTTTCCCTACCTACCCACCCAATTTTTTCTCAGGTTGGAATAGAAAACACACTATTTTTTTTTTTTATCTTGGCCTGATTCAGAAACTTTGCCTACTGACAGTCATGTTAGGATTGTCCTGTCTATTGTGAACAGAGTTATATATGTAACCTTGACATTCCAAGGCCACAGAAACTTACAATCAGAAAAGTCCTACAATTCTTACCCTTCTTGGCAGGTTGAAGTCGGGGGAGGAGATCTTGGGTTCATTGAGCGCGACTGGCCAGAGTTTGAACAGCCTGGACGTACAGAGTCCATCCTTCCTGTAGAGGTCCGCCCCGCGCATGATCTTCCCGGGAGACGTCTCGCCCAGCGCGTAGTGGTCCTGGATACAGTGGGGACGGTTATCAGAGGTGAAGAGGTCACAGTCAAAGCCGTGCTTGGCAACATGATGGTCATGACAATGGCTGAACTTAGTCAGGTCACCAACAGCTGTAAAACAAGGGCAAATTAATCAACTTAGACTTAATTACGTCTACGTTTTAGGAATTTTATTATCCATAACACAATTATTCTTAATACCAAAATTTCATTTAAGAAATGAAACCATCAGATTCAAGACATCTTTGGTCCATTTATTTCTCATTTGTTTTGTTTACGATTCACAATAAATACTTTTCTGTCATAAAAGCCTTCTCCAGACAATTAATCACTGCATGTTGGTATGTATAATATGTGCTGATGAGAGGACAGTTAAACTCAAACAAGACAGGTTAATATTGGAGAGTAGCAGTTGTACTGGTCCACCATCAGACAGGTATTAATGAGGCAGTGAAGACCGTTAGAGTAAATCTCTGACAACAGAAGGAATAACTGTCTGAGGGGGCCCACTGGTCACAATCATATCTAATCATTTGAAGTACTGTTTTAAAAAGAATATTTCCATAAAACAATTAATGATAGATGTCAGTGAAAACACAAAAAACTCTAGCTCAAGGAAATCACATGGTTGTTCAAGAAGTGAAATGTACATCATGACCCCAAAACTCCCTAGAAAACCCTGGGCAATTTTGGATGCAAGAATTAACTTTTTCCTTACCGGGTACATTATTTAACTGAACTGTTTATGATGTAGCATTTATATCAAAAGTCTTTATGCTCAGAAGAAATGTGTGGGTAAACAGGACATTAAATTTGTCTCTTTGGGGTAAGAAAAGACACTTCTATCACCTTTAATCAGTTTTTAAATATATATAAATTCTAAATACATAAAAAAGAAATTGTATTTCTGAACTGCATGTTACTGAGCATGCTCCAGGAGACCTGTATTAAATTTACTTTAACAAACAGCCTACCCGCACTCTAGGACCTCTACCTATAAATTTATGTTCATCTAAGTCTAAATGTAATACATTGTATTGTTATTACCATAATGTAATATGCCAACAGCATTCTTTAATTACAGTGAATTAAACATGAGATTTAAAAACATATTTAGTTATCTGCCCACTAATTTCTGATTCACACAAATAAAGTAGAAATTCTATGGCCTTGCATGTTAAGGGTAATGTATTTGGTCCCGAGGAATTCAATACAAACAGTTCTCCATTTTACACACAGGAGTATTTGTTTAAGAGTTAGGTTATTTTTTCCCGTTACCTTTCACTGGTGACAAAACTATGTGGATTTTATTTTGTGGGAGCCGTCTCGTTAGCAGTTTGTTCACTTTAACCTTACAATTCAGTAGCTGTGATTAATGCCACCTTTTAATCTTTTCTGCCTACAGTACGATTTTCACATTTGTACTACAAAGCTTACTTAAGAAATAATAATAAATTAGCTTTGTTAATTAGTGATGAGAGTGTACGGTTCCCCCCATCTGGGCCTCGTTGCTTCTATCGATTTGACCAGGAATTGGCCTGTGGGTTTTAGCGGGACTAAGGACCACTTTAGAGCCACATGTTCCCTCCATACAGGGTACGCGTGGTCCATAAATCAATAGACAGGCTCAAATAACCTCTGTCTACAGGTTTTAGTTCTATTAATTTAATTACGATACAATACGTGATCTGAAAGTTTTTTATTCTATTGTTTTTAGACATGGACTTAATATGATGAACACCATTATCATTTATATCATATACTAGCCAGCAACCATTCTGGAGTATATATGAGACTATATATTTCTTTAATGAGAAATTGAGAGATTGCTTAAAGTTTCTTCTTTTTCTTTATACACAAACAAATTATTAATTGAAAGCAAGATACAATTTTTTTTTCAAAACAAAATCTAAACATTTAATTATCAATAAAAATGTTGATCTTACTAAAAAAAATTTAAAATCTTCCATTAATCCCTTTCTCTTCCTTTTGAAACTTCTTTTACGTAATATTCAGTGCTCAAACAGACTGTATAAATTTTTAAAATTTGTTATTTTATAGAAATGAATACAGTAAAATTAATGACACTGTGCCACACAGTTTCTGTCATTATATAAAAATTGTGCATTATATACTCATGAAAATGTGACATGGTAGATATAGAAATCACACAGTTAGTTTCAACCGATAATATATCAGGGTACATTTTATCACACCATGACATACATGGAATGTCGTGTTCAGATGATGCGAGACATACACCATACAAAGCAGCCTCAGATACGCCACCTATAGAGCAGATTTAAATATTTGATATTTTCAAAAAAAAAAATTAATTTGGGAGATGCCCATGATGTGTATAGAAAAACAATATTTAAAATTATAATTATAATTATAAATATGAGACATAATTTATACAGATAACTTATAATCTAAATAGTTTTTAGCTCACCTGAGCCAAATGCTCAAGTGAGCTTTTCTGATCACATTTTGTCCGGCGTCCGTCTGTCTGTAAACTTATTAACAGTTCGACTTCTTCTCAAGAACCACTGGGCCATTTCAACCAAACTTGCCACAAAGCATTCTTGGGTGAAGGGGATTCAAGTTTGTTCAAATGAAGGGCCACGCCCTCATTCAAGGGGAGATAATTGGGAATTAATGAAAATTTGGTGGTATGTTTTAAAAATCTTCTTCTCCAGAACCACTGTGCCAGGAAAAATGAAACTTATGGGGAAACATCCTTGGTTTGTGTAGATTATAAATTGTTCAAATCATGACCCCCAGGGGTAGGGCGGGGCCACAATGGCCGACCAAAGTTTTACATAGAAATATATAGGAAAATTCTTTAAAAATCTTCTTCTCAAAAATAACAAAGCCATAATTGATCATATTTATTTGGAAGTATTCTCAGGTAGTATAGATTCAAGTTTGTTAAATCATGACCCCGGGGGTAGGGCGGGGCCACAATGGCCGACCGAACTTTTACACAGAAATGTATAGGAAAATTCTTTAAAAATCTTCTTCTCAAGAATAGCAAAGCCATAATTGATCATATTTATATGGAAGCATCCTTAGGTAGTGTAGATTCAAGTTTGTTCAAATCATGACCCCGGGGGTAGGGCGGGGCCACAATGGCCGACCAAAGTTTTACATAGAAATGTATAGGAAAATTCTTTAAAAATCTTCTTCTCAAGAATAGCAAAGCCATGATAGGTCATGGGACTACTATTTGATTTAAACTTTTCAATAATAAACCAATTTCTACTTTTTCCTAGCCACGGTGTTCAGGTGAGCGATGTGACCCATGGGCCTCTTGTTATACTTGTTACTAAATTTAAAGCATTGACTTTTTAAATAAGTATACAACTGCTGTTATAAATCTGTAGAAATTATCGATATAAAGAATTGTTTCTTATACCCGTACAGTCTCCTAACACAATGTATGTGTGACTTATGAATGTCAAAGATGCTTATATAATACTTACTTTTTGATTGAGAAATCTCTGTAAATTAAACCAATATTACAACAGTAACAGCAGAGTAACATAAAAAAATTATATTTATTAAGAATTCTTAATAACTGATACCTATAAATTACTGCCTTTCTCAAACAATTAAGCCAAATTCTGATCATAAAGTTGATTTAAAAGGCCTTAATGAATAATGAATGAAAATTGATTGATAAAAGATGAAACTAACTTAAGGAATCTTTTCTGTTTTTTATTGAAATTACTAAAACATGTAAATAATTTTACGGACTTGTGCAGCAGATTTGTTTTACCAATCATCTTTACGGTTTTAACACAATAAATCAATACACATTAGAATGCCCTGATTGAAAATTATACACCCTGCTACACTGAATGGCCGTCCCATTGATAATTGATGAGGCCGAACCTGTAACTCTGTCATTTAAGCTGTTTCAGCCATTTTTTGACAAAGCTTATTGAATTTCTGTTTTTTAATATTCGATCTGTGCTAAGTATGTTGCCATTTACATTTTTCCTATGCAAGAAATAAATTAATATAAATTCAGTCATCCTGATCAAAGATCAGGTCTCATTGAGGCAAAAGACTGATGCAATTTTATATACATTCTCTTTGATGAAATAAAATCTATACAAGGCACATTCAGATTCTTATTGTTGAAGTTTTGTTTCAAAGAGATTCAAAAATGTTCTACTTATTATTTGCATTAATTAGTTATTTTGCATATACTGGTTTTCATGCATTAATGACCTGTGTTTACCTATTTTTTCATAGTACAAGGTACGTACTTTCTATCTTTTCTATCTTAAATTTGTATCCACCTAGTCAGTGTACTCAAAGTTTATAAGGTACTAGTTATTTGTTACGTATACTCAATGAAAATTATAGTCTGAGCAAAATGCAGATATCATGATAAAACTTTGTGACATCCTAAAATAAGAAAATCAGATAAAATAAAATGGTCTTAAATGGACACACATATTTTCAAGGTTTTAGGTGTTCAAATAAGGGATTTATTTTTTGGTCAGAGGTAAAGGTCACAGTCCTCTTTATGTGGTAATATATTGTCACCTAGCATTAACAAGTCTTGATTGAGTGGACCACCTTGTATGATGCCTCCCTCATTTTTATGATATTTTACTCATTCTTCTGTTCTGGAGAAATGCTGAATATTCTGTCAGTTTTTACCTTAATTTTTCCTGACAAAATTTTGTTAAGGGAAGCAATTACTAAAACAAACTTATTATTCATTACTAAACTGACATTAAATCATAAACTTATAATCAAAGCTTTTTTTTTCAAGGTTTATAATTTATTGAAATTATTAATTTTACACTGTATGCATTTTAGTCTGATTATTGGGTGCTCTAATGCCCTTTTCTATACTAAGACTGATCGGTGATCAAGTTTGAATGAAGAATTTTAAACTGTGGGTCATGTTTCCCACTGTGTAAATAAATAAAATGGGGTTTCTTTAGGTCAATAGAACTCAAAGTTTAGTTCTTGATAGTATTATTTTCATACAAAGCTTTTTAAGAAAACAATCTGGTAACAGAGCTATACCATTATGACATTCGTCTGCTTACAAATTGTCTTCCGAATTTTACGGTTTGGTAGCTACG